AAGATAAACAAACAAAAAGATTATTCAAAATAAAAATTTGGGCTGTCAAATGGACATAAGGGAAAAGAACTCAGATTATGAGATGGAAAAAAGATAATTTGCAAATATTCACTTTCTAAAAAAATGTTCTTAATATTCACACATCTACACAGTTTGTTTTTAATCTTTGTGAAGAAACAATCTCAAGGAATAATAATTGTCTTTAAACATTTTTTTTTTTTTTAAGTGAATATTTGCAAATTATCTCTTTTCCATCTCATAATCTGAGTTCGTTTTCCTTATGTCCACTTGACAGCCCAAATTTTTATTTTGAATAATCTTTTTTGTTTGTTTATCTTCTTGTGGTTTTTTTCATTTTTTTATATTTTTTTTTTCGATTTTGATGGTTATTATATCGTTAGGACTGACGAGGGTCAACCCAGACCGAAATATATTTTCAATAAATGTGGAACTAACATCTACCTTTTTACTCTACAGAGGTTTGATCCATCACCATCACCGAATTTTGAATTTATAGTATTTCGGTGTTTTTGATCAAAATATTTAAAGTTTATCATCTGTAATTTATCAGCGATGGATTGTTTAAATAAATCATAAAAATTTATAAATGGTTTGTGTCTATTCCCGTTAAAAACCTGACATTATATTGAGAAACAAAATATTTAAAGTTATTATGATCGCTAAACATTCACATTGATCGTCAATTTAATTGACTCATTTCTGGGTGCTCAGATTAACTCCTGGGACTATAACTGAAATAAAGCATTATTCATATAAGCATAGGCGCGTAGTGGAGGGGGGCCGGTACCCCTGTGCCCCCCTTAGACATGCACCCCCCTAGAGCCAGAGGTATGGCTCTTATTTATTTAACAATAAACTTACATATATATTCAGATTTTTTACTTTTCTTATCAATCGACAATGTCACAATTTGTCCATTATATGATTATTTCTCAAATTCTTTCTTGTACCTTAATCTTATTTACATTATTTTTTCGCGGGGTTTCATTTAAAATGATTGGTAATTTGGGTCAGATGACTAATAGTCAGCCTTCAGGTAGATTATTGTAGATTTTAAGCTTTATTTTTTATTAATACCGGTTTTTTTCAATCCAATTCAATCCAATTCAATGGAGGACGAATCTTATATTTCTTGAGCTGAAATCTTCTGATTAGGGTCACACTGTGAACATTCCCGAGGGTCTCCCGAGTTCCGCTACCGAAAGTTGAGGCAAATCGGACTAGGGGTTTACAGAGATTACAACTTTATATATATATAGACATTATTATTTCAAATGATGATTGGGTTAGACCCATGAACATTTTATCTTGGAAAAAATATATATTTAAACATCTAAAATGTTTNCCTTAATAGCATACTTATATCTGTTCTTAACTTCTTAGTTCTTTAAATCTTATAAAAAAAAATTGGAAAAAATAAATAAAAAATTAAATATACATATTAGAAGCATCTTTTTGAGCACTTTTTCATAATAATATTTAAGTCAACCTTGTACCTATTCAAACATTTTCTTAAGATACATTAAAAATAATTGAGAATTCAAACTTGTTATAACTTTTGCTTTTTTGTGTACATCTAAGCAATTATGTAAGCTAGAAGAATTGTCAATACAGATCAAAATTGATGTCTAAAATCAGTCTAAAGTAAGAGTTCGCAGACAAATAAAAGGGGCTTACGGCAAATTATAAGCGCTTTTAATTGGTAGTAATCTTACTTCATGTTGCGTCTATAAGGAGCAAATTGTTAAAAACGACATACACCGAAGAACGTAGCGTTCATACAAATTCAGAGTTTCAACATTCAACTTGGATCGTAAAATAATCAATTTAATTTCAAACATATCATTCAAGATATTAAAAACAATTGTCATCGATAATTTTTTGACGCATTCGTATATAATATTTTTTTTTATGGTCTGAGAGTTTCTTTTGAAAAAATTTATTTCTGTTTCGAGTATTTCTGATAATGGATACGACATTTTTATATTTTTCAGAATTGTTAAAAAACCTGAGCCAGCGAAATATTATTTTTTTAAAAATTCAAAAATATTATGCAATATTCATTTTATACAAATGCGTTGAAAAATTATCGACTACTATTGTTTGTAATATCTTGAATGATATGTTTAGAATTAAACAGATTCTTTTACGATCCAAGTTGAATGATGCAATTTTTCAGAATTTGTATGGACGCTACCTTCTTCGGTATGCGTCATTTTTAACAATTTTCTTCATATAGACGCAACATTTATAAGTAAGATCAGTAGCGATCAAAATCGCTTATTTTTCGCTGTAAGCCTATACCCCTTTATTTTTTTTGCGAACAATTCCTTTAAATCACATACTTCTGAGGCTTTGATTTTGATGATATCCCTTAAAAATTAATTAGGAATAATACAAATATTTCTTTGCAGAAAACATACGAGCCGAATCGTTTCATGCCTTGGATAAAAGAAAAAAGCTTTTTAAATCCTTTTGTTTATCGAATGTTTTCTGGAAACTGGAAATAATTTTCAAGTCGACATTATGTAAATCTTTGATAGTCATCTTCGATTTGAGTTCGATATTACAGAAAGAGGTTTTAAGCTTCCTAAATGAGAAACTTATATGACTTCACAAAAAATAATTTACTCGTCTTAAATGGAGTAACTGGCAATGTATGGTGGTTGAACTGAGTATGCAGTATTATAGTCATTTTTTTAAAAGTTTTTGAGATGGAAATTTCCAAATCATAAACGTCAACTCCTTTATTCTATGTTTACTAAGTATCATGTAATGAATTAAATAAACCTGTAGACATGGGTTTGATTTCCTCTTCTCTTCTCTACGATGTGATGAACAAACCCAGATTCTTAACAAATATAAAAAAACATTAAAAAATAAAAAAACCATTTTATTTCTAACAAATTCTTTAGATATTACAACCTATAGGAATCGATTATTTTTAGACACATTCGTATATAGTTAACATTTCTTAATAATTTTTATTCACTTGCATACAAAGCACTTCAAACACCAAAATAGTTGGCCGCTAGATGTATCTGCCCTCGATGCTTTGAATGATTACACGTGGCAGAGAGGGGGAAAAAGTTATTTTAAGTGCATTGTATATTAAACAAATAACAAATATTATGAAGTATTAACTATATACGAATGCTTCCAAAAATAATCGATGACTTTAGGTTGTAATTATGTAATATCTTAATGGTATGTTTGACGATACCAGTCTTATATTGCAACTTTATGAATTTCTATGGAAGCTATGTTCTTCAGTATAAATCGATTTAAAAAATTTTCTCCTTATAGACGCAACAGATAGAAGTAGGATTAATAGCGATCAAAAACGATCATTTTTCGCCGTAAGTCTATACCACCTTTCATTTTTCGCGAACACTCTTTCAACCATGACAATTCAATTAAAATTATCACCTTTTAACAAGTGTGCCGCCGGCAAATTAAATTGAAGTTTCAGTTCTTTCTTCAAATTCTCAGGTTGAAGATTACGACTTCTTCTAATCACATTATTCATCTGGGATCCTAAAATGAAATTTTATCAAAAATCAAAACTAATGCCATCTACTTATATTAAACATTTACGGAAGGTTTATCATCCTCTAATCCTGGAAAAACAGGGAATAGGAATAAAGGGAAGGGAAATGGCGCTGGTCTAGCATGAGAAAGCCAGTCGCACTGCTTTGCAGAAAGTTCGGTATCACACACGCACACTCTTTTGGTTCAGACACACAACATGACTACAGTCAAGGAATTTTTTTTAGTGTACTTATAATCAAGTAAAACTTAAGGTTTTAAAAACTCAAAATCTAGAAAACAACGATTTAAGTCATTGCGTTCACCCTTAACCATGATCACAATCCAAATATATATAAAATACATATATATTACGCTTATGTTTTAATTAACAATTAACAATATACAAATGTACACTCCTAGACTGTATAAAGCACAAATGCCGAGATTCTTTTGTACTGAATAGTGAATATACCTACAGTACACGCGTTCGGTTTTGGTATTAATACTTACACACACTCTTTTAGTACAAACACACACACATGACGTTTCCGCCTCCTGTAGAAAAACCTTTGATTAATCTTACAAAAAATATTCACCCTTAATCAAAACATAATTTTCTCCATTTATTTGGGTTTTATTTTCTGATTTGGCAAGTTCAGATAAATATAAACGAGAAAATTTTTTTCATGAAGTTGTAAATTTTTCTTATTTTTTAATTATTTTTAATGTGATGCAAATATAGTTAAAAACGATGTAAAAGTAGTGAAGTTAACATGAATCATTAATAGCAACAAAGCGCTTAAAAATAATCTTTAAATATCTACTCAATTTAAATCATTATACTTTTAGACCTCGCATGTAGAAAATTAAAATCAGAGTACTGTTCTATGATAAAAAATATAGTCATCCCATTTAACGTACATAAAAACAAGTTCAACTGGTTAGCCATTCATTTTACCTACTGTTTCACATAATGCTTCTGAACCCCCTCTCAACATCACAGACTCAAACAGCTGATGAAAATCAGTATGGGGCTCTTTTTTAAATTGTCCATATCTAAAGTATTAATTTACATTGGCATAAGTGTAAAATTAATTACTCAAGTACAAATGTAAAAGTTTGCTTTGAATAAGAATATTTTTTTTTACACCTTTTAAATAACTTATCCATTTATACAGGAGTAAATATTTACTAGAAAAATCATTATTTCTTTGCGGAAAATTATCAAAAAAATTATGAAAAAATTGCCCTTTGATGTTTAATTTTTTTCCTCACCACAACTCATCAAAAATTATCTGTAATTCAGAAAAAAATATTTGCATTTATAAAAAATCATATCAAATCATTGATAGTTAGTAAATACGTATTTTCAACATATGATTAAACTACATTTGAATATATTTTTTTTTTCAAGGGACTACAGTTAAATACATTGTTAAAAAGGACATTTGCTTATCAAGTGAAATGTCTGGGTTCTCAATGGTACCTATTAATTCTTTATATGGTTAGTAATATTATAATTTCCAATTGTAAATATAAATTATTTCATCAATAAAGTGAATTTTAAGTAGGTGAGACGAACATTGAACATTGAAGATAATTATCATAATTGAACAATGTAAGACAAAAAGTAAGAATATTTCTTAACTGTTAATCACAGAAGAGCCTGAATGGTACCTTTACGAATCAATGAATTTACCCTCCATTCATAAATAGTGGGTCAAATGAAATTACATCTCAAGACACAGGGGGAATAAGTTTAAGATAAGATGTAGGATAACATTTTTAACTAACCGCTCTTCCAAGGTCCCTGAGAATTTTCTGAATTTCAGCCACCCAGAGACTACTTCCTCAGAAGAAAGCTCATCTTCTCCTAAAAATTTAAGGATCCATTTTCAGTAAGCAACATTATTTAAATATTATTATGTTCGGGTCATTCAATGTCAAGTCAACCATGGATGCACGGCATGTAACATATTTTCTGAAATTTTGCATACAACTTGAGATATGACAAATAATCACCTGAAGATGGGCGTTCTTAATCTTTTGAGGCTGGAGTTAAGTTTGAACTTTACACCCGCGCCCCCCTCCCCCCCNAACAAAAATAATCCCCGTTCAAAATCAATAAGACATTAATATAATTTCAAACAATTCATTTTTATTACCAACCTGGGATTTCCATAACTTTCATCAGGATCTCTCGACCTTCCTCTTCTGTGAAATCAGCTCCTGCATAATTAACTCATCAATTCTGTAACATAGGATCTGGCGACTAGAAACAAACGCATGATTTTACTACTTTCATGGGATGCAAAAATATTTGACTTAAAAGTCACATTTATGAGTAAATGGCAAACATAAAAACTGAATGAATCCATTTGTTTTTAAACTTTTACAAATCAATTTCAATACAAGTAATCCTTGTATAACTTAGCAAGGTGGAGATTGAAGTAATTAATATGCTTTTAAACACAATTGTATAGTGTATACAAAAGTTTCAATATTTACATTATATTGTGCACTTTAACATCACTCCCTCCCTTACTAATTACTTAGAATACTAACCATCTTTAACTAGACTACAGAGGTCCATCAGATGTCTTGTATCTACTAATCTGATGTTAAGATTTTCACTTACATCAGAACATAAAATCCTCAGTCCTTCCTTCACCTAATCAAAATTTTTCTAGTGTTAAGATAAATTTGATTTTGAAAAATCATAAAAAAAATAATGGAATCGGATCCGGATCCTGTTCATGAACAATTTTTATTTTTTTATTTTTTATCAGAAGAATTAACAAATGATCGTAAGTCATTGTTTTCTATTATTACAAAGAAGTAAGCATTTAACATTTTGTTTTAATAATTTAATTCAATAGCTAAAAATAATCATATTAATGCATGCAAATTTGCAGTGTTTAGGATCCGTATCATTTTGATGCGGATCCGGATCCGCGGATCCGCATCCGTGATGATGGATCCAAATCCTGACTCTGATAGGGATCCGGATCCGAGGTAACTTTTGATTCTGTGAATCGGATTTTCCCTATTAAATGTTATGCAAGGTTATAAACTATAAACTATATTTATTACATATTCCGAAATGTAACAAAAATGTCGTCATTACTGTTATATAAATGTAAACATTAAATTATTAAAGATAATTTTAAAAAATTTGCGTCATGTAAATAATACATTTACGAACCATTTTGATTTATTTATTCCATGGTTTTGGTTAATTGGATCCGACCAAATGATACAGATCCGACCGGATCCGGATCCGGATCCGAAACACTGGTTCTAGAGCAAAACTGTTATAGGGAACTCTGGGTTGGAATAGCATGTTCCCTTAACGGATTGTATATGTACACATATTGAAAAAAAAAACAAATTTCAGGAAGGTTGTGGATGATATGAAAAGGGTATATATTTAAAATAATAGTCACCCACCTTTATTGTCAATTCTTGTGAGAGAAAAAAAATCTTATTTTAATTCATCTAAATTTAAAAGAGTTGCATTTAACGAAAAAAAGAGAATTTATGATCCATTTAACTTTATGTGAATCTAGATCCTGGATCAACCCTGAGAAAAAATGGATCTGGATCCGGGATCCATCCGGAGAAAAATGGATCTGGATTGAGGTCGTGAAAATTTACTGATTTTTTTTAACAAAAGGTAAAGGAATATAATTTTCACTTGCTTTTCTGCTAATACTTGCATGAAGAATTAAGAAGAAAGAAAAACTTTCCTCATTATTTCTTTTATTATTTAAAACATTACCTGGTCTCCTGATCTGATTTCGCTGCCTTCCACTTTGCTCCAGCTTGCTGCTTGGCCCCCTATAAAATATAAAAATTTCACAGATTTTACACACAAGTATTGGTTTTGAGGATGTTTCATCTTTATGCAGTAACTAGTCTATTAGCTTACTATCATCAATCAAGACAGTTTCTGGTTTAAGATAAGACAAATCCAATTGTAGAAAACGATCATCTAATTTTTTTTTTAACTTAATAAGATACTCAGTACTACAACAGAATTCTAAAATTTGTTGCGATAGGATAAGGAAATATATACAATCACCAAAAATACACTAAGATACAATACCAAAAAACACTAAGATTTTTTAGATTTTAAAATAAAAATGTGTCAGAGCAAGCACTTTTAAAAATCACCAATCACTAAGGGAGGTCGATCTTTCCAAGTTTTCAAAACATGTCAATATGGGTGTCACAAACCACTGATTACTGCCCAGTTGTTGGTTAGTTAAAATTGTGAAAATTGGTGGAAGAAGGGCCAAAAATCTATTATTATTGGAGGACTCTGTCAAGTTTCCTCTAAAAAGTCAGTTTTTTCTCTAAAACTTATTACATTTTAACCTTTTTTAACATTTTGAATTTCGTTTTTCAAAACCGATTTTTTGGTACCCATATCGACATATTTTTAAGCAGAAATATTTTTTGCTTGCACTACTAATTTAAGATTTACTTAAAAACATGAAGTGGTGCCCAACGAACTTTAAATGTATGGTTGTTGCACTGAATATGTAGTATTGTTGAAACTGTTTTAGGATTCGTTTGATAAATATGAAACGTTTTTTCAACGATTATTAACTGAGTTTCAGCGCAAAGCCGACATTCAAATTCATTAATTTGGGTGAGAACGTTTTCACTATCTGTTTTTAAAAATAATTAATAACAATTTTTTTTGATCAAATTATACAGTAAACTAATAAGTGTTTAGGAACAGGTGCAGAAAAAAATTAACTCTTATCAAAAAATAAGTAATTTAATTCAATTGTTAGTTTCAAAAATCACAAAGATTTTCTTCCGATTATCTAGAATTTTTATTCAAAAGACGACAATTCAAGAATTTGTAAATATCTGAAAATAAATTCATAGAAAATAAATAATTTATTTAAATGATTCAAACTAAATAATTGATTTTAACATTGATTTATTGACAAATTTCTTTTAAAGAATATGTTCCTCAACATCTAATGACTTTATTAAATAATTTTTACTTTATTGTTTGTCGTCGTTATTTAATAATTTAAAAAACCACTATTTTGAAAATGTACCCACCCAAATTCATGATTTTAAACGTCGATTTTGCGTTCAAACTCAGTAAATATACGTTTTAGAAACGTTTTGCATGTCTCAAATGAATCCTAAACAGATTTTTACAATACTCAGAACTCAGTTCTACCACAACTGCTGCTCACACCCTTTAAATCTTCCAATTTTTTCCATTTTACTGAAAATACCTGTAGTGAGAATTCTGGAGAGAAAGTTTTCTTTTCTAAAATTTCAACAGAATATTTCAGTGACTGACCCTGTCAACAAATAAAGAATATTTTAACAATTATTAAAAAAGGTATAAAAATAAAATTTAATTTCATTAAATTGTTTCATTGTCATCTTGAACATCAAAATTTCATTTTCTTTTAAAAAGCTAATATCAGGTTTATTTATTTACCTCAAACTCAAAAGCTTGACTCCAGACTTCAAGTTTAGTCTTCAAGGCGGCCAACATATCCAGGGAACTGAAAATATGAAGATTTTGTTATTATCTTGTTATTTACTCCAGGTGAGTGATTATATAAGTGATCTAAATTCTAAGGACTGAATTAAGCAGTTTTAACTTAAATAATAAAAAATTTGTTTGTATATGCTGATAAAGTGTCAGTGACTGATCATGTTTCAGCATAAAATCATAAAAGATAAGGTCTCTCGACCATTACTAATTACTTTTCCATTAAAAAACACCGGCCGTTGACCATAAAGTAATAAGAATAAATCAACAATTTATGACGTAACTAGTCAAATTTTTATTGAAAGTCAACGCTTGCTGGAACAAGCACCCAACTGTTAAATAAGTGCGTTGTAAAATGACATTTATTCTTTGACAATATAGGGGTCTTAAAATTTTATTTAGAACTCCTAAGCCCTGTGTAGATATGTTTACTGTTGTGGAATTGAGCATATATGATACAGTTACAATAACTATTACCTGACAGGGTAGCTCGTGCTAGACTGGGCAGAAATCGACCCTTCTCTCAGTATTTGGATGATCTGGTTCAACCCTAAAAGTTATTTGCGCTTATATATAAATTAACATATTCAAAGTTTGGTCACATCGTTGTGCACACTGCACTAAATCCATACACAAGTTATAATCTCTATTCTCTGTTTGTCTGTCTTATTAGTGATTGTTGTATGTCCTATCATAACTCAGGAACCCCTGGACCGATTTGCCTAAAAGTTTGATAGTGGAACTCGAGAGTCACACGGAAATGTTCTAAGCTTGGATTTAAGATTCTAAGATGATTCGGTCGACTTAAATAGGGAAAAGTTGGTTTCCCGGTAAAATAGTTCAAGTGTGGGTTAACAGTATGAGTATCTGAAAGTAACCTGGGCAGCGCTGGGTTCCCAAGCTAGTTATTTAATAAGTTCTTAGGGCACTAGCAAAAAAAAATTTCTTTAAAAAAATATAAAACGTATATGAATATATCGTCACAGAGTCAAATGAAATGAAATCGAATGAAATAAAATCCAATCAGGCTATAAGATAGGTCCCAATATTGATATTTGCGCTGCAAACTCAAAGTGACTTTTACTAAGTATACTAAATCAAGAATGAAACAAGGCTTAGTTTAAATGTATCACTGTTTCGTGTACCTTCTTTAGATTTAACAGACTGTTTTGTTTTAAATACTCATTACTCGTATGACATACTTTTGGACTTTTAACTAAAGATATCTTGTAAAAAAAAACATTAAGCCTTGCAAAAACTTGCACAAACAATACTTTGTCTTGGTGACCTTCTAATCTGAACAAAAGACCCAATGTCATTCTTAATTTTAAAAATTAAGATGTAAAATATTGTTTTTAAAATGTGTACTTTAAATGGGACAAAATTTTAAATTATTTGATTTATCATACCGATTGGTGTATGTCCATTGTCTGGTACAGAAGAATAGAAATGTGATGTACTACATCTATATATGTAAACTTCTTTCTCCAATCATAACTCTGGAACCCCTGGACCAATTCGCCTCAAATTTACGTAAGTGAAGTCTGAAGGGCAGTCCCGTCGGGAACGTATAACATGGGTGATGGAAATTTACATGTAGGGACATTCCTACACATTGCCTATTATTACCTTAGCATTTGGGCTTGGCAGACATTCCCAATTTTCATAGGTTGCTAAGTGAACTTGATTGTGGCTAAACATCAGAGGGCAAACTTTCCCTCTAGTGCTATTAAGGCAAAATGTTCAAGAGGCGAGTAGTTATTGGACAAGTGCTAATGAGGCTTATTGTGTGCAAGACATGTTTGTGAAAGCCAAAGCAATTCAAAAAATTAAGATATTCAGATTCGTCAAGGTGGAAGTAATTGACATAATAATTTCTAAGTAAATTAAAATTACACCTTTAACTATATAAAAACTTTTGTCAATATTTTTGATGATTATACCTATTACAGACAATAGTTCTGCGGTGGTTAATTGGTTATCGTCTAAACCAATAGAATTCTCATACGCAATCAATGCTGAAATAAATATCAATTTATTTTGCGTCATGCTCGTCTGTTTGTATCCGATAAAAACAGAATTAGTAACTAATATTATTTACAGATCAGACCTAAAGAAGGTCACTGACAGTTAATGTAAATAACTGTTAAATACGACAAACATCTCAAAAAATATTACGATTTTAAGCAGTGCTTAGGATCAGGATAAATTCGATACCTAAGATTTTTGCTTCCTGGATTCGGATCAGCAAAAATAAACGAATCCATGGATCCGAACGAAAGGGGCAAAATATCAACCAGAAACTGCAACAAAAAATTGTTTACTCTCAAAACCAAAATATGAAGTATTGCAAAAAGAGAGATTATAAAAGTTTCCTGATTTCTGAATAGTTCATAAAGTTTTAACATAAAAATAAGCGAAAATAATAAGACTAAAACTTTTAAAATTTTGCTTTGTTAAAAAAATCAGTAAATTTTAAAGAAATAACCGGGATCCTGATTTGGATCAAGATCAATTTTTTTCTAGTGCAGATACATGACCCAGATCCACATCAAAATTAAATGGATCCTAAGCACTGATTGTAAGCTTGATTTTTGTTCTTTTTTCCATCCAATTAAGTATATCTTCATGGTTTACAAATTGATACACAGATATAACCAAGTATTAGCCTACAAGGAACCATAAATTCAACAATACTGATTAAACAATCGTCTCTGAAGTCTGAAGGTGTGGGTAACATGTAGATAAAGAATTTTGCCGAAAAAAATGTCATTTAATATTTTTAAGAATGTGCAAGTTTTTTAAGCCTAAACTAATAAAAACAGATATTTTCTGTGAGATAAAATCAAGTCTTCATAGTGTATAAACAAATTTCCTTCCATAAGGTACCTGAGCTGGGAACTTAAGAATGGATAACCTTTAATCACGACTACTAAATCCGAATATCCACTGTGGAAACTTTTTTAGTCCTTAATCCACTCTTTTTCTCTCTATTTGGATATCTGTACGTTGTTTTCTCCAATGAGAAAACAGGAATATAGGTCGTAAATTGTATTCACCAATGAAAGCCTTGAAAATAAATTCAATCCCATGAGAGAAATCCGCAACTTTTAACAAATAAAGAATTTGTTGTCGCCTGTCGGCCATTTTGTAAATTAATTGATGAAGAAAAATATTTAATAATAGGTTTGAGATTCGTTTTTAGCCAATTTTAACTAATGTATTAACAAAAAAAGGGTTAGAAATTAACTTAAGGCCATTCTTCCAGCCAAGATAACTAACAAATCTGGCGTTCCTAGAGTAAAATTTGTTGATCTACATATTTAATCTCAACACTAACATAATCTCGAGATTATGTTATTATCAAGATTAGCAAAAAGAGAGGATTAAGCATTAATCCTGATATCCACCATTCTAAAGTTCCCAGCTTTGATATCAAACGACACATTTTACTTTTTACTGTTACTTCACGTTCTTACTGCAATTTCAGGTGGTAGTCAATTGAGATCTTGTTCTAACACAACACCATACCTGGCAAGTTATGAAGAAAAACGTCAATTGATCTCTCCAGGGCAGCTACAAACCTTGTAACTTGCTCTCCTAATATAGTCAAGAATCTCATTACTACCATCAGAAAGAAGTTTAAGGTTTTTCAGATCCATTTTCCCCCTCTGTTATTTTATCATATTTCCCACTTAGATAATATTTTCAGATTTTCTGGATTCATAATTTCATTTTTCTAAGAATCTGAATAATATTTTGCATATGGGCAACATTTGTGTTTCTTTTAAGTAAAATAAAAAATAAGTGGAAAAAAATATTTTTTCCCTTTTTCCCAATTTTGCAGTGTTTTTTAAGCTTTTTCACCAAAAGTCTGAGTCAAATACCATCTAGGTGTTTTTAACACTTGCTTGTTAGTCAAGAATCTCATTACTAACATCAGAACGAAGTTTAAGGTTTTCAGATCCATTTTCCCACTATTTTCCCACTTTGTTAATATTTCCAGATTCATGAATTCATTTTTCTAAGAATCTGAATGATATTTTGCATATGGGCATCATTTGTGTTTCAGTAAAATAAAAAATAAAAGTGGAAAAAAATATTTTTTCCACTTTTCCTATGCTTTTAAAGCTTTTTCACCAAAAAATCTGAGTCAAATACCAGCTAGGTGTTTTAAAAACCTGCTTGTTAGTAAAGAATCTTATTACTAACATCAGAACGAAGTCAAAGGTTTTTCAGATCCCTTTCCCCCTATTTTCCCTCTATTTTATCATATTTTCATCAGATTCCTCAAAAAATGAAGACAGGAGTCCAGAATGTAACCAAATTGGTCAAAGATACCCTCCCCTTTAGGGAAATAGACACCCCTGGGATGAGAGATTAATTATGATATAAAACATTAACATATAACAAAATGAAAAATAAATATGAAATAAAATAAGTTCTTATAACATAAAATTTTCCTTTAAAATACAATTTTTTTGAAACCTTGAAATGAATTCAATTTCAGACATAGAAAATTTATGGGTATTTTAAGATAAATCTCCTTTAACATGAGATTGGGGTTGACATAAAAAACCAGCAAAAAAAACACTAAAAAAAGCTTTAAAAAAACACTTGTAAATGGGCTTTTTTGGGTTCTGTTGGTTTATCGCTAAGAATTTTTCTAATTGTTGCATTTTCTTTCACTCTAATAATGATAAACTCTACTCTAATTAAGGTCTACTACTAACTGTCATGATTTTTAGGCGCTTTAACGACTAAAACGGACAAAGTTTTTTATTTCTTAAACACTTAACCCTATTCCTGGGGGGGGGGGGCGATTTGTCCCCCCCCTTGTAGTTTTTTTTACATAACTCAAAAAGTATTGGTCTGAGGCTGTTGAAATTTTCTGACTTTTCCTACATACCCAAATCCCTCCCTTTAGACAAAAAAACAGGCTTTAATACGTCACTGCCTGAATGACTGCTTTTTCCGGTAAGTGGGTTTTGACCCACTTACACTTGTCGGATTTTGATAAAATTTAGCTTTTTGGAAAGCCTTTGACATAAGGAAACAAATTGCACAAGTTTTGCGAAAAAAAATTGCAAATTTTTTGCAAACCACCTGTTAAAAGAAAATTTGCACATTTTTAGTTTTTCTTGATTAAAAATCAGGTTATTTCCAATTTTGCAAAATCATTTGCATATTAAAAATGGCATGGTCAAGGGCTTTTCAAAAATGTATAATTTTCATTTTTTTGAACAACATTTTTTTTGCAAACATTTTTACTGTATAACTGGATTTTGCGATAAATTTTTCAATTTTTGCAAATTTGCAATTTTTTTTGCAGATTTTAAAAGTAGAGCACAAGAGCTTTCCAATGATGTATCATTTGTCATATTTGGACATCAAACATGGGATTTAGAGGGAGGGGGGTCAAATTGACCCCCCCCCCAGCATTTCCTGGTTTTCAAGTACCCCAGCAGAGATAGGGTTAAACCAATGATCTTAACAAAATGACTTGTCAAATTAAAAAACTGAAAAAAATCAAAATAACCCAATTAAAAACAAATTAAAACCAAATAAAACTCATTATGGGTTTTTTTAACACAATTTTTTTTCCAACCCTGCACAATATGTCTAATTTTACCTGTATATTTACGAATATAGAACCCGTTTTGGTAAGCCCAGTTCTCAAATCTAACCTTGCACTTGCCCGTTTGATACTTGGAATATCCCTGCATAATATATAAACCCATTAAGAGACAATTTCATAATTCGTTAAATGCATGGTAGTTGAACAGACAATGTACTATTGTGGACTAATTTTGTAGGATTCATTTTAGACATATGAAACGTTTTAATGACAATGTTAACAATCATTGATTTCGGTGGTTTTGTTTTGAGAATATATTACATGTGATGGTGAGCAACAGTTTTTTAAACTCCCCTCCCCTCTCCTGATATTAATCCACCACATGCAAAGGTCATGGTCAAGGTCACGGAGATTTTGTCATCTGAAAATGAAACCCTGTGGTTCAATCATATTAAGTCCTTTACAAAACAGGACCATTTTTTTCTCCGGTCTACAATTCCACAGAGGAAAATAGTGATAAGCTTAAGTGGTCTTGTTTAATGTATCTTTAGAGCAGGTACCATCCCCCCACCCCCCACCCCCCGACCTCCTATGGACCTTTCTCCGTCCTGATATTGTTATTATTTCTCAGGATGCAGTAAATATATTTGAGCTTACTTTTCCTCTTGAGCCAAACATTTTTGCAGCAATTTACTGTAAAACGGAAAAATATTCAGATATCATCTCTGTTATAACCTCTCGCAAAGTTAACCTGACCCCCATTCAGATCGGTTCCAGGGGTGAGGAGATACATATCAGGAGCAGGCTCAAGATTATATTTAAATTCTGTGATAAATCCATCTCCTTGTAAGTCGGAAATCCAAGGTCTGGGATGAGTTTAATACACATTCAAGTGCTGCTTTTATCTTTACAGAATTATACATAGAATATTACTAACGTGCAAATTATATCCTGTTTTCCTTATATTTATCAGCTATGTGATTTATAATAATGCATTATCTGGAAGTAACCATGACACTTTTAAAGAAATTGAGTATTTGCCACAACTAAAAATTTTCTAATCCCTATATCTATTTGATATAACATAATTCATAGTTTGAAATATCTAAGGTCTATGACATTGGGTTTTAAAGATATAGGTATAAGAAAGTCTGAGTTTGTGCCAAAGACTCAATAACTTTAGAATGAAGAGGATAAAATAAAGGCTTTTCTGATGAGAAAAGAAATGAAAAACCAAACTGATTTTTATCATTTGTAACTAAGAAGAATTTACTGCTGTATCCTAAAATGAACAGGTTATTAAATAAGAAAATTTGACATACCTGCATCACTCGGGTTTTTAAATCATGCAGTGATGTCCCTCTCAATGCTGGCTTCAAACCTATGATAAGAAACCAACAAGTTGCGATTTTAACCAACAAGTTACGATTTTATTCAACAAGTTGCGATTTTAATCAACAAGTAAACATTTTCAGATCTGTATCTGGTGGACGGGGGCCTCAGAACATTCTCTGGGATAAAAAATAAAACAAATAGAATAAAAAATTAAATGATAAAATTAATTTTTTTTCATTTTTTTAAGACTTAATATTTTCAATTTTCCCTTCTTTCATAATTAAATGATATCAATAAGTTTTTTCACGGCATAAACTGACAATATTGAGACAAATTTAAGAATATATATAAAATACTGTCAGTTTCAGCACATACTGTTTCGTTTTTAACCTTAATTCCACCCTACTAAATATTCCTAGCCATGGCCCTGCAGCACAAAAGAATGCTTGATTCAAAACAAGACAATTGTAATAAAAATTTATGTATTATATTTTAGGAATATCAAAGACAAATTTTTGACAACAAATATTTTATAAATTATAGTGACTCTTGCATATACTGGCTAATTTAATCTGAATTAGCGTACTCTTATCATGTGCCAAGAATGTAAATAAGGCCTTATTTACAATAACATGTTTAGTATTACCTAGCTCAATTTGGTGAGATGGGTCCCATCTCTCGGTTATCTTTACACCTTAAAACATGGCAATCTTAATTATAAATGAAAATTTAAGTCAAATGAAAACATAAATTAAATAAATAGTTAAAATTGGAAAAGCTAAATATAGATATAAGAAATATTCTAGATTGTGAAATATTTGTTAAAGAATCTGTATGTATATTGTCTTATCATTGCTAGACTATTCGTTCATTTGCTTTGATTCAATAAAGTTTCAATAATATGATAATGGAAATTCATAGGAGATGAAACAATATATAATAATTGTGTAATAATAGCATTTTAAACACTATGAAGTTAACATTATTGATAAATTTTCTTCTGACCTTAAAATTATGAAAAATCATCTAGTGGATTTACTACGGATTTCATTACATGGAGTTCAGATTAGATATGATACCTATTCGAGATTGAATACGTCTAGCTAAGTTTAGTCCAGATCCACGTCCAGCACTTGCACGCCTCAGACCAGCCGACATGTAGGCTCCGTCTAATAAACATATCATTAAAGAGACTGCAAAGGAAAAATTAAAGGGGTATAGCTTAGGCTCAAAGCTAGTCACTTTAGCTCTTGGTGACGACCCATGAAAGTTATATCTGATGTTCCTGTCTCAAGAAGTTGATATATAACCGTTTTAAAAATTAAAACGGTGTCAAATTTATATATACAATTTCGTATAGAAATAGTATAATGGTCATGTGTCTCTGTCTGTATCACATGAACAATGACTCTCATTGGAGGGAGTTCTTAAGACTTGTAAATGATAATATAGTTAGGTCATATAAACTTTAAATAAACTGGCATATCTGATTCATCACTTTGACAAATAATCATCTATTTGATTTTTAAAAACCTTTAAAAATATTTTAAATTTTTTTTCCATGAATCAAAATCCTTTTACAATAAATAAATTTTTAAAATTTTTACTTTTGACTACAAAATTAAATTTAAACAAACAGCAAAAACAAGAACTTAAATAATACCTGCTGTAAGGTGCTTTAGTCTATCACCAATGTCAATCTCAGATATGTTGAGATGAGTTACTGAAATGAAATATTGAAATTCAGCATTTCAGTTTATGGTTCTGTAAGAATTTGACGAGAATTTGACATAAAGAGTGATCATAAGATAAACACACAACATGGTAAAACTACAAAATAACCAACAAAATCAGCTAAAAGATGGCTAAAAATCAAATAAATATTAAAAAACAGGATCCTATAAGACTAATTGATGGAATATATAATGACAAAAACATATCAACCCATCTTTAAAATACAGATCAAAATACTAAATAAGCCAGCAATGGGGATGTTGTGAAGTGAATATTTTCTTGTACCAGACCTTAAATCTGAAGAAAAGATTTTCAACTCCTTGTTGAATAACGGTCTTTCAACCACCAAAATGGAAAATGTTTGCCAAATAAATTTACGAAAAGCATTTGATATAGTGGGTATTTACTGGCGTTATTCAATGTCAAATACAATTAGTTTCAGATGAAATGGAAATCAGATCGATAAAAGAGACTATTAAGTGATTTAAGCATCAAACATAAAGGTTATATGCAATCTTTTAGATTGGTATATTTATAATCGTTGAATTAACAGTTTTTACGGTTTACCCCCATTAAATTGAAACTTACATTTTTTGTGGTTTTTTACAATATTACAGTGGTAAACTTAGATACCTAGGGAGTCGCATACCATCTCTGCTGCACCCATACCATCATAATCATCCTCAGTCATCTGAATATATTAAAATGATGTTCAAATATTTGCATTCAAATATTCATAACTTAATTTACACCGAACGAAACAAATATATCAATAAAAAAATTCTGCAAGCAGTTTTTGGACAAAAATCTTTCAGAATTCTCATTTTACAACTATAGTTTCGAATAAAAAAATTTGGTTAAAACAAAGTTTATTCAACATGGCCTCTCAAGTTTAAACAAACACATAAAAAAATAATAAGAATTATAATTGTTAATAACCTTCTTGACGTCGACAAGGCGTCGGATTATTGTTCCATTTTCTGAAAAGTAGAACACGATGATGACAGTGTACGGGTCCCCGGACACGGTTACCTATAAAAGAACTAACGATGTAAATTTAAGTGATCCTCAAGGGCTCATTTATTTCAAACTTATTTAATTTCAATTGTTTATTACCAAAAAAAAAAAATTGCATGATGATGACAAGTTACAGAAATGCTTGAAAATGGCTAGAACACTTCATAATTGAAAAAGCAGGAATCTGATTATTTAACTTTTCAGGGGACCATAATGTGCAACCAATATTAAACACCTCCCCCCCAAAACAGAAAACGCTTCAAAAGTTTGCATGTAAAAACCATGTTTGGGGGCAAAAACTTATCACAGAGCAAATGTTTAAGATATTTGAAATGTGCAAATTTAAAATTTATAAATTTACATTTATAAGGAAAAAAATGCAATTTGAACATCAATTGTTTGAATCTATAATTTAAATAATATAATTAATATATAAGGGGTGCGAGAAACACCCATAAGCTTAGTCTTAAAATTGTAATACGTCAAGAAAAATTAATTTTCTCTGTTTCATAATACTATATACCTTGTCCAAGGTAAGAGAGAATGCTCTGGCCTCCTTGAACTGTTTGTTGAGGAACTCTTCGTACTCCTTATAAACTGAAATTTTTTTTTCATTATTAATACACTTCAACATTTAACCATCACTTTTTTTCAAATCATGACCTGAACAAAACTTCATCGTAAATGTGTTTTTAATAAAGTTTGTGTTTTCTGTAAGGTTTTGTTGGTTAATATCAAAAAACAACATATGTAATAATAGAATCACATTGACATCTAGCATTTGACCGTGCAGTAAAGTTTAGAATTACAAAATACATTCCTACATTAAATTAACAATTTATTAAGTGCTAAAAACCACCGAAACTAATACAAAATTATGATTTATGCCATTCCAAAAATATAGAACAAAAAATTGAAAATAAAAATACATCCAGCTAGAACTATGATTACGATGAAAAACGTCCTGTAGCTGTATGTCTTCGCATCTTAGTGATTATAAGAATATACTAACAATAGAGTGATTTTCGATTTATATTGTTTATACCCTGCAGCATTATTGCATAGCAGTCTTAAAGATCATTTTGACAGCTAGAAAAGAAACCAATTATTATGTGATCATTTAATTTTACACTCAAAATGTACCTGTCCTATTCATCCTTCTCTTCTCTTTCACCCGAACCTGTCCTATACAACATTTTCTTCTCTCTAACCTCAACCTGTCCAATACATTCCTCTCTTCTCAATAAACTGAACCTGTTCTATCCATCCTTCTCTTCTCTCTTACCTGAACCTGTAAATACATCCTTCTCTTCTCCATAAACTGGACCTGTCAAATACATTTCTCTCTCCTCTCTAACATGAACCTGTTCTATTCATCCTTCTATTCTCCATAAACTGGACCTCTTCTATACATATCATATCATATCAAACAGCTTGGGATGCGTCCAACCTTTTCTTCTCTCTAATCTCAACCTGTCCAATACATTCTTCTCTTCTCACTAACCTGAACCTACCATATCCATCCTTCTCTTCTTCATAAACTGAACCTGTACGTGAAATTGCACCCAGCCACCGGAGGTGTCCGGCCGGCAAGCACGTATTGAAAATCAAGATTTCTGCAACCCGCGACTTCCCGTTACTATATTTGTTGCCGGCTGTTGAGTTTTCAAGGGATCTGGCAGAGACTTTGAGCGTAGCCTCTCAATTCCCCCTGCTAGCTTATATCAAAATTAGTTCGTGGTGACCAGCACATTTCTCTCTTCTCTCTAGCATAAACCTGTCCTAATCATCCTTCTCTTCTCTTTGACCTGAACCTGTCCTATAAACCCACTTCTTCTCTTTAATCTCAACCTGTCCTATACATTCTTCTCTTCTCACTAATCTGAACCTGCCATGTCCATCCTTCTCTTCTCTTTGACATAAACCTGTTCTATCCATCCTTCTTTTCCCTTTTTCATGAAAACCTGTCCTATACATTCTTCTCTTCTCTCTTACCTGAACCTGTAAATACATCATTCTCTTCTCCATAAACTGAACCTGTCAAATACATTTCTCTCTTCTCTCAAGCATGGACCTGTCCTATTCATCCTTCTCCTCTCTTTGACCTGAACCTGTCCTATACAACCACTTCTTCTCTCTAATCTCAACCTGTCCAATACTTTCTTCTCTTGTCCATTACCTAAACCTTCCATATCCATCCTTCTCTTCTCCCCAAACTGAACCTGTTCTATCCTTCCTTCTCTTTCCTCGAACATGAACACCTGTCCTATACTTAGTTCTCTTCTAACTTGCCTGAATCTGTTCTGTACATCCTTCTCTTCTACTTTAACTGAACCTGTCCAATATATCTCTCTCTTCTATCTAACCTCAAACTGTCCTATACATCCTTTTCTTCTCTCTGACCTGAACCTGTATTATCCATTCTTCTCTGCTGTCTAACTTGAACCTGTCCTATCCATCCTTCATTTCTCTCTTACTTGAACCTGTCCTATAAATTTAGACTTTATCTCAGACCCAGAGTTTTTCCTTTTGAAGTTTAAACTTATCTATTTTCAAGATTTTCGTCTCCAAACTGAAAGTGACAAATTGACAACTGTAAGAATTCGAACAAGGACAGGTTACCTATTTCAAGGAGAAGTCTGTATTCATTTTGGCTGTTGTTCTTTGTTGCGACCTCTCCCGGAGCTAACAGATCGGCGTCCTGAATAGAGATAACTTTAGGTTTTGTAGTGATGTAGTATGACTGTTAATTAAAATTTTGTTTTAAACTACGCTACGAGGATCACGCTCTGAATCTTGACTAGGGTTTGTTTGATCTAATACATTTTCGCTTCCTTGATAGAATCAACAATAATATGAACATCCAGATATCTGGTGTCATGACCTTGCAACACCTGCGACAGTTCATTTCCCCTGTGAGTGTTGACCATTTCAAAACAATTTTAATACATTATTATAAATGGATACTGGATCCAGGATCCAGGATTCTGGATACTGGATACAGGATACTGGATACTGGATACAGGAACCAGGATACTGGAACCAGGATACTGGATACAGGATACCGGATACCGGATACAGGATACTGGATACAGGATACAGGATACATATTTTCATGAAAAATTTGCTGAAATGAGTGAAAATTAAAAAAACAGTGTATTTTCCAGGCTAAAAATCCGTACAATCCGTACATTTTGGCCACCCTGAATAAATGAAAGTAAAAGTAAAACTATTAATTTTAAACTGTCAAATACTTTAAACAGTAGTAAAAATAATAGTAGCAAATTAGGAATCATATTTCAGAACAATCGAAAAATTCAAACTATGTTCCTTATTAACCATTTCAAACAATCTAAATTTTAAATATTTTCTAACTCAAAAAATGCTTCTTGTACCTCTGAATTCCACCAACTTCAGATTTAGTTTTGTAATACAAAGACAAAGATTTTTCGAATCAAAAACCAATATATTCAGTTAAATCAAATTATTTACCTTGGACAGCAAGTCCATAAATAATCTGGTTGATCCGGAATTCTGTAGAGTTATCAGAAAGTTCATCACCATAGCAACACCTATATTTAAAATATGAAAAAAAAATGGTTTTCATGTTTAAAAGGGGGGAGTGGGGTTAAATTATAATGAAATACGATTATTTTATAAAAAAAAATTTATCTGGGTAAACAAAACTGTAATTGAGGTGCATGTCAAAAAGATTCGGGTGATATTTATGAGCATATGAGAAACTGTACAGTAAAGTAGGATTGTGTGCTATAATCTTACCTAGCTTTTTATCCTGGTCGGAGGCAAAGTTGTGTTCAAACTGTTTTAACTTCATCTTTCTCACTCCCGTGAGATGATTTCCAGACTACAAAATGTATACATAAAAATGCTATTAATTAATTTATATCAGGAAACCAGTAGTTGGGTAATTTCAACATAACAATTTCTGGTCCCCCCCCCCGTGACACACCCTCACCCCTCTTATCACTTTTGCACATTAATTTTTTACGTTTTGTTACCTAACATAATCTTAGATAAAGACTAGTAACTGATTCATTCTATCATATGGCTGCAGCGATCTCCCCTAGCCTGTCCTAGCCACGGTGCTCAGCCCAGAAGTAATCCTACCCGCAGCGCTTGACCCAGAAGTAATTTTGACCTAAGCTAACCTTTGATAAAGACTAATAACACATTAATTCTGTCACATGGCCGCAGCGATTGTCCCCCTATCCTAGCCCCAGCGTTCGACCCAGAAGTAATTCTAATCTAACCTAACCTTAAAGACTACAAACCCATTAATTCTATTATATTATATCATAAAAGTTTCATATTCAAAATTGTTCGCTAGGACAGACCCCATTTAATTTTCATGGGTCATAATAAATTTTTAGAAGATTTGCCCTTTTATTTTTATGCTAATACTTGAAGCGTTGATGGTTGATGCTTTATCTCTGGAACCGCATATTTTTTCTCATCCGGATCCAGGAATTGAGCTAAAATTTTGCGGAACCAACGGATCCCAAGCACTGCATTAAACTATGCTAGTCTTCTTAATCACTGCCACAAATTTGTATCCACCCCGGGCGAAGAAATTAAAGACCCAAGAAGAGGGGAAGAAAGTGGAAGAGGGAAGGAAGGGGAATCAAAGGAGAAGGAAGAAAGGGAAGGAAAACAAAAGAAAAGGGTATGGGTAGAGAAGGGGGAAGGTATGGATAAAAAATGTAGGGCAGGGAAATGTAGGGGCAGGTAGGGAAGGTGCATAAAATAAAATCTGTCGAGAGTAAACGATCAATCCAAGTTTTGCACTAGGGGTCTAATATATTACGCTACTAACATCCAAGTATCAAAGACATATGGGGTAAATATATTTTTTTAACACATTTTCAGTTTTCACCCCTTCAGTTTATTGCTTACTAGCCTGCCCTATGAAGCATAAATTTTGTCACATATGGGAATCCATCAATTTGAACATTTTAATCATATGCAACCAATTTAAACAGAACTTGTACCTTCAGATGGGCCTTCATTTTCTTCTGTGTCTCACTTTTAGATGTTATTGTGATCTTCCCTGTTACGCCAAATCCATCCTAAATAGATAATTAATTATTAATAATGAAGACAATTCAGAGCCTTTTCAATCTGATCTCATAAAATCTATATTTTGTGTGTGCAAAATTAACATTTATTATTGATGGATATTTGAAAATCAAATATAAAATCCTTCTTAGTCAATAGAAGTTTCATTTTATTGAACATTGAAACAATTTTAAACTGATATTTTTTTAAAGATTTAATCAAGACACAAATTTCAGTTTCATTTAACCAAAAGTTAAGATTATTTAAAAGATTTTTCGATATTACTCAAGTTGAATAAAAGTCAACCCCCTGAGACCCCGTAGATGAGCATGTTCAGGCAGGACTTTTGGTTCTTGATATTTTTCATTTTGTTTCATATTCAATGTTGTATGCAAAATTTCATCAAAATCTGTGACATGCCGATTGTGGATGATTTTACATGGTAAATGTCACAAGGTAAATTTAATATTAATTTAAAATCCTTAATATAAAATTTTTGCAAAAATTTTAATATCAAATATTATTGTATTGTCCAATTTCTGGTAAACAGAACAGACCAGCTTTCACCAACAGTATTGTTCATAGCTTCATCATGCAACCAAACTCCAAAGCCATAAAGCATACCTTAGGAAACATCCAGGTTAAGCAGGTTCGGCAATGCATCGATTTCTAAAAAAGGCATTAAGAACAAATATTTATATGAACTTTTATATCATCTGTGTACGAATTGAATGAATTTAAGGCGCGGCTTAAATACCCAAAAAATGGGTTTCAATTAAGCGCCTGCTTTAATCTTGGAAAATTCAACACAATTTTAAGTGAAAGCTAACATATTTGAGCTCCGGCTTAAATTTAAGCCATGCCTCAAATTCTTTAATTTCAGGCTCTGGCTATTACTTTCTTAAAATCTTGCAACAGCAACTGTAAAAAATAGATGTTACTATAATAAGTGTAGCTTTGTAGTTATTAAATAATGGCATGTGTATTAGGTATATACTAAGGGTGAAACATTCTCATTATTATTATTATTATTAAAGGACAACCCATCATTCAATGAAATAGGGGTCGGCGCTCCTAGCCGCCGAAACGTATCCATGAAACACAAATCAAGTAGTCGATACTTGTGTTTTTTGATTTTAAGCACCATTTAATTAAAGCATTTTTTAATAAAATTAAAATTGACCATCGCATATGGCTTCTTAATTTATCGATGTAGGTATAAAAAAATCCGTCTTGCAAATCCTAATTCAACGCAGCAAAAAACATATACAAATGTTTAAAAACATGCCATCTAGGAGCATTAAAGTTGAAAAAAATAAGGAAATCACAAAATCAGCTTTTTTCCATAAATGGATATTTTTCATTAATTTGTAAAACATTTATTTTTCATGTTGAATATGGCTTGAAAAGACGGATCTTGTAATGCCCAAACCATCATATTTTGAGGGAAAAAAAATACACTTACTAGCTTTTTTATCCAAAAAAGCTATTTGCAATGGTCAATTTCGATTTTTGAAACAAAAAGATGCCTTTTGTAAATGATTTTGAGAATTTAAATAAAATATGATTTTTTACTACTTCCACTCAAATTTATGAAAACACTTTGAGTATATATTTTTTAAATACTAGGCTAGTGCAGCATTTCATGCCCATATTGAAGTAACAATTTTAGCTATGGACTGTTGATTTTCAAGTCATTTCAATAAAATTGTTTGCTTAAGTTTCAGTATTGGTGAACTTAAAATAAGTACAAATGTAAATATTTTTTAAAAATGACTCTTTTAATTTCAACAAGCAGTTCTCCTTTATGCAATGGTTTGCGCCCCCAACCCCCGAAAAATATTTAAATCCATTGATCCGGATCTAAGAACTGAAAACAAAATTTGCTCTCAAAAACCAAAATCAAAACTTTTCAAAAAGAGATTATCAAAAATATCTTTGATTTTAGCTAACCTAACTTAATATTTCTATGCATTCCTTATTAGGATTTCCCCCCAAAAAATCTACACATATAATTATGATTTTAAAGATTTAATTTTTAAATACCCTTGCATTTAAAAGATACCAGAACTGACAAAACTTTAATGCAAGCCACCAAACATGATATTGCTCAACTTGGGTAGTCCTCCAAAACCTCTTAAATAATTACATGTTTCCCTGTCACTTACAACTTTTCATCAGATGACAGTGACAATGACAATTCTTAAACGGAAACTCAAATTACTTAAGGAATTCTGACATAACAACTTTTTATACCTTGTCTGTTGAAATTTGAAACTCCTCTAATAAAGCTTCCTCTATACTCTCTGTCTCAACAGTCTTGCTCTTCTCAGCCTCATCAGCCAACACTTTAACTTTTTAATAAAGAAGAAAGCACATTGATTTTCTTTAAATGTCAAGTTGTTAAAAAGTAAGTTAATTAGTCATCAATTACAACATTTCTAAAAGCTAACAAACTTGGATATAAAGCTTAGGAAAACAAATTGTGGATTACCAATAAAAATATCTTTAAAAAGTCATCCCTGTCGCAAATCTTCTACAAAGATCATCCATACATTCCTAATAATTTTTTTAATTTTTGGTAAAATTTAGAAAATGCCGGAAAAAATTTTTGTGAAATCCGCATACTTTTTTTTGTTTTTGTATTATACTGTACAAAATTAACTATCCCGTGGCCGAATTTAAAGAATTTGATCGGCGGTTTAAATTTAAGCCGCGGCTTAAATATGGTTGGTTCCACTTAAAATTGTATCAAATGTTTCACGATTTAAGCCGGCGTTAAATTTAAACCGGGTTTTGGCGGATTTAAACCGCAGCTCAAATTCTTTAAATTCCATCTCAGGTTTACATGTCTGAGTACTGATGTATATTATGTCTAACTGCCTAGATATATATGTCTAAGTATTGATGTAAGATATGTCTAACTGTCTAGGTATATATGTCTGAGTACTAATGTTTGATATGTCTAACTGTCCAGGTATATATGTCTGAGTATTGATGTATAATATGTCTAACTGTCTAGGTATATATGTCTGAGTATTGATGTATAATATGTCTAACTGTCTGGTATATATGTCTGAGTATTGATGTAAGATACGTCTTAACTGTCTAGGTATATATGTCTGAGTACGGATGTATGATATGTCTAACTGTCGAGATATATATGTCTTAGTATTGATGTATGCCATGTCTAACTGTCCATTTTTATATGTCTAAGTATGAATGAATGATATGTCTAACTCTGGTCTAAAAGCCTGAATAAGGATGTAAAATATGGAAATAATAAATTTGGGGATTTTTTCCCGAAAATCTTCATTTTTTGAATTTTTATTGGAGATTAAGGAATAGATATCAATAAGAGCTGTTTTTTATATGTTTTCTGTACCAAAAGTTAACCAATTTTGACATGAGCTAGTACTTATGTAGTAAAAATGTGAACAATTGCTTCACCTTTGTTAGAGTAACAGGAACAGCAGCATCATCACTTGGTAATTCCTTAACAATATATAAAATATTTTATATATTTAAAAAATATTTAATATGAACTTTGATAAAATATGTTAATCAAAAGCTAAAGTTCATGAACATTGTAACATTTAATCCCTTGATATCGTTACAATCCCAGACATAAATCCTAGGGAAATCAAGATCAATCGTTGCCCCCCCATCTTTGAGGGTTAATGCAAGACTTCACTTTCATTCCCAGTACCAGTTCATAATTCACCCAAACCTCTCTTCTTGTGTATAATATCTATCTCTCAAGGTCTTTAATAAGTGGGTGGNCCATTCTATAGTTCCAGCAATCCTCGGAGCCTCTAGTGTTTCTAACCATAGGAACACCTGGGATATTAGAGTGTGTAGGTAGTTGAACCAGCTGTATAGAGGTGGAACTACATTGCTCTGATCTGTTGTAACCTGAGATATCTGCCTCATCAATGGTTTATTGTATTCCTGAAGATATGATCATGTGAGATATAATCGTGTAAGTCCACATGTTGTAATCCTTCTTAGAGCTGTCCATGAAGTGCCCGTCCCCTAGCCTTTGGTTGAACAAACGGAGCTTAACTCATACGTCTGTTCGGTTCAAAGGTCTAGGGTGCACTGTTGAATCTTAATGAATCAGTTCAGGTTAACTACTCCGCATTCATTAAAAGAACAAAGAGATAAAGGTGTGAGGCTGGGGGAGGTTTTTAGCATGAGTCACCTATACTTTAAATATTACAACATTTTATGTTCAAAAAACAAGGTTAAAGAGTTGGGAATGAAGTGTAAATCTTTTCGAGCAGACTGAAACATTTAGGTTGAAGCTCATGGAAAAAAAATTGTATTTCACAGGCACATTTTGATGTGTTGCGCATGCTCATTTCTGCAAAGCAAGGGCTTGGTCTGCCTAGCAAATCTGGGAGGCTCGTGGCTTTGGGGGGTTCCCTTCCTTTTGTGTACAGTAAAGAAGGGCATCTATCAGTATTTATTATTTACACCTTGAATCAATCCAAATTCAGTATTCTTGAGGTCTATGAAGCCAAAATACAGTTGTCATCGTAGGTATATATATTAAGAATAGGAGTAGTTCTCAGTTAACAGCTTCTCTTTGATTACTTGTGAACTTGAAATTTGAAAAATTTGCAAACCATTAAAATGATATGATCATCAACCAATAATGACCCCCCCCCCTCCCCTTCAATGCACACTAACACTTTTTAGAGCTTATTTTTTTAATAGGTTAAATGTTTAGAGAAGATATATATATTAAGAAGATAAAAGTTAACAATTTCAGAATATAAAGCTTAACATAGGCTAGGAATTAGGAACAAGATTCTAAGGGTAATGTTGGAAAAATGATAAAGGATTTGAAAAAAAAATTGTTAGGTAAGGATAAGACAGTTTAAGATTAAATACTCAAGTGTAACTTTACCTTAGTTAAAGCAACAGGATCAACTGCCTTATCACAGGAGAATTCCTAACAAATATCATAAATATCAAAATATAATAGCGTATTATGCGTAGGAAGCAAGTGTAATCATCAAAATTAGTGTTATAATAATGAAAGAAAAACTGTGGAATAATTTTGATTATTTACCGAACGGCGCAAAAAGTTTAAAAAACAAATGAAGAAAGTAAAACAAAAAAGTAATCCAAAATAATATTTTTGAAACCCTAAAAAATTATCGTTGATAAAACAATTACATTTTTAGGATTTAAAAAAAAATACTAGTAGGGAATTTTTAAACCTTAACAGCAATTATATAATATACGTTTTTAGATATTGAGCTAACGGTACAAATTGTAATGGGAAAAGCTACCGGATGCATTTATTTTGGAAAATTGCTCATATGTAGACACCTTAATGTACACTGTACAGTGTACACTGTTCATGGTTTAAAAAGATCTAGATTCATAAATCTTTATATCAATATTTAAAATACTTGAAGTTTTCTTTCACAGTTTAAAGCAACTTTAATAAAGGTAATAAAATGTTAACAATATTTTGACAATAATGAGCCGACATGATGAAATTAATAATAGTGAGGAATTCGGACAGCAAATATGGACTAGCACCTTTACCTTTAACATCTTCCTAAGAGAACGAGCAGCAGGCTTTCCATAGCGGTTAAGAGGAGTTAGTGCTTGAAGTGTTGAATGGGATATTATTGAAGATGATGGTGAGATTGAGTTGTTGTTAAGTTGAGTTAATTCTCCTGGTTTAGGCAAAGGTTCTTTAGACTCTGAGATCTTAGGAGACAAGAACATAGGGGATAATCTAAAATAAAATTGTTACAGCATAAAATGGAAGACAACAAAGAGCGGTAGCAATTTAAGAGATGTGCATCGTTGTTCGAACCAAAAAAATAAGATTAAAAATGAATGATAATTTTAAGCACGAACGAAAAAAATTCAAATAAAGTCCTCACTGTGTCCTGGTTTTTCGTCACAGATTTCTCTGTTAGGTAAAAATAATTCCCATACTTCTACCTTTCAGTTCACAGCCACAAGACAAAATAAAAAGAGTCTAATGTGCACATTTCTATGAATTTAACTCTGAGATTTAGAATTTTTCAAAGGACAGTAAACATTGTGATAGGAGGCTGACATTTTGCACACCGACTCAAATTTTATAAGTCAACACAGATCAAAGAAAGTTTCCATACTTCAATAAAAATAGAAAATAATTCACAATGCACCAACCAATCTAATTCAATCAGACATGTTTTTGTATTTGTAGCAACCATAGAAATCATCCGATTACGGAACCACATATTTGACATTCATTAGCCTCGTATCAAATGTTTAAAGTTTATATACTCTTTCTGAAATTTCATAATCTTAATTTTCACAAACGCATCCTTAACAAAAATTGTGTCAATTTGCCACCTCTTCATTTAAATCCAAATCTTCTTTTAAATATGTTTTAACTGCTCTACTGTGTAGAGTCTACTAAAAAAATTTTGTTACTTTCTAACAATTATCTCTAAACTGATATTGTATTAATCTCTTACTTGAAACAATATCCAAAATGACGGGCTTCTGTCTTGTTGATTAAAATGATGTTTGAATATTCAGTCTGACTCTGAACCTGTAAAAAAGACTTAATTTTTATAATAGTACAAAATGAAACAAGAAATTAGTATCTGTATCATGCAACAATGATTGAATTGAAGATTTTGAATTAAATTAAGGGGGTATAGGCTGCTGTCGAGTTAAATTCAATATCATGAGATCAAATTTCAAGTACATAGTATCAGTGCTTAGGATCTGTATCCGGATCTGTTGGATCCGCGAGATTTTTGCTTCATGGATCCGGATCCGGAAAAATATGCGGATGCAATGATCCGGATCCAAGAGGCAAAATATCAAACAAAAAATGCAAAAAAAATTTTTTTTACTCTAATAACCATAATTTAAACTATTGAAAAAGAAAGATTATAAAAAATTCCTGATTTATTAATAGTTCATCAAGTTTTAGCAAAAAAAAGCAAATAAAATAAGATAAAAAATTTGAAATTTCTTCTTTGTTAACAAAAAATCAGTAGATTTTAAAGAAATAACCTGGATCCGGATCTGGATCCGCATCAAAATTAAATGAATCCTAGGCACTGCATGGTATATGCGGAGCCACGTATCCGGATCCAAGGGTTTATCAACCAAAAACTGCAAAAATAAATTTACTCTCAACACCAAGTCTGAACTATTAAAAAAAGAGATATTATAAAATTTTCATGATTTCTGAATGGTTCACCAAGTTTAGCATAAAAATAAGCCAAAAATAAGACAAAAAAAATCCAAATTTTGCTTTGTAAAAAGATTAATGAATTTTTGAGAAATATCCTTGATTTTGGTTCGGATCCTTATCTTCATTTTCAGTGCGGATCCAGGATCCGGATCCGCATCAAAATTAATTGGATCCTCAGCACTGCATGGTATAATATATATTTAATATGTCAAGCAAAACGAATACTATGAAATATCAAATATAAAAAAATGCATTTTTAATTTAACATTTAGTCCATATAATTCAATTTCTGATACCAGTGGGATCTGGGTTGATAATAAATTTACCGACAGGAAAATACACAATCTGTGTGATTACAATTTTTGAAATTTTGGTGTACATGTACTACACTTCAAAGTGTGTACTGCTTTTGGGATGTCAAAGGCTGTAAATATTAATAATCAATATAAAAGATTAATTTTTACATAAAGAATGCATAGTGAAGTATGGAATTTGTTCACCAACTTTACATACTTTTGACAATGGTTAATTTCTGCATTGGGTGTACTGTGCACTGTGCAGTGAACAATTGACAAAGTAAAGATTCAACAAATCTTTTCGTATTTTATGTATTTATTGTCTTAAGTAAACTTAGCAATAATTTTCACGGAATCAAAAAAAGTATATAAGGGAAAAAATGATCAAAAACGGTCATTATGACGACTTTGTTTCTGCATAGTTTTTGCATATATATTTGATATTTATTTGGTAGTGAAATCAATTAATCAGGCTAGTTTATCCTTTTTTCAAAGTAGTTNCTATATTTCCTTATTGAGATACTTTAATAAGTTATCTGCAATAAAAATGTGCAATTTTCAAAATTTTGTTAAACTCTGTGCTGGAACTGTTCCTCATTAAAATTAAATGAAACCTAAGTACTGCACACTGTACAGGTCTAAATAACGCAATTTTTACTGAAGATCAGAGTTACAACATTATCACATATCGTTGTTTAAAAGTTGACTAAAGTTTTGGCTAAATACCTTTGACGGTTTAAAAGTACTCATGTACGCCTCACCAGGATTAATGACGAGGAGATAGATCTTTATTCCTAGAAAAAATAATATTAATGATTTCCTCTTATTGTTAAACAAAAATAATCCATATTTTATTTTTAATGCTGTTGAAAATCATGAACATCCTTTCAATTTAATGTTAACAAAATAATACATCAAATTAATGCAGTCAATTTACCTACATGGCCTACGAGTTTTCAATTAAAATGAATGAAAAAATATCAAATCTATTGTATAACCCTTGTATAATTACCTAACAATTTCGCCACTAAGTCTATCTCCAACGTACTCCACCACACTCCATCTTGTATAATTTGTACAGTGTATTCATCCCAATCCTACTTATTTAAACAAAATCAGAGGCAGCTACTATAATTTTAGCTCCAAACGGAAGTTCAAACAATGTTGGACGGATGTGCAGGGGAGATTGTTACTCAATAATGTCACATAAACTAACCCATAATCAAAACTTTTCTTAACTAAAAAAAGTTTCTGGAAAAAAACCTGAAGTCAAATTTAAAGAATTTACGCCGTGGCTTTAATTTGAACCGCGGCTCAAATTAGGTTGGTTCCACTTATACTTTTAATAAATTATTTACTATTTAAAGAGGCGTTTAAAAAAAAAGGATTTTGTTTGATTAAGCCCAGGCTTAAATTCATTAAATTCGGACACTAATCATTGTTACATTTTCAATGTTGTCCTGAGCCCAGATTTTTTTGTAAAGCAACCTTAAATAAAATCAAGCTTTGTCAACACAGTTTCTTGTTTTGACTTCTTTTTGGTTTTTGAAAGCTTTCACTGCATTTACAGAAAGATCAACTATGACAAGGGTGTGAAAAGTCCCATTTAACAGAGTTATTGTTACAAACTCAAAGCTTTAACTTATTTCGTAATGCGTTATATTTAAATATAATCAATACACTACATATAATTGGCCAATTTTTAATGTTACTATATAATAATAGTTATTACAAGATTTTTTATCACCAAATTACTCGGTTTAAACTAATAGCTTTTAATGTTCAAGCTTTTAAAATCTTAACTCTGCTATAGTGAACATATTTTATAAAAACTAAATGCAAGGGTGTATATTTTCTCCAAGAATCCTTTTCCCATTATTTTTAACAACATTATTTATCCAAACAAATAATATGTTGGCGTGGATAATTTTTTGTTTGCCGATTTTATTTCCTGAATAGGTGAAAATCAATGAACTTTGGTCGTGAAAAAATATAAAAAACATGTTATATAAAATTTTGTAATTTTGATCTCATAAATCATCAACATTATAGTCACCTTTAAATGATTTTTTACTCCCCCATTTCCTACTCCACCGAATATCTCGTTTACATCCTTGACGTGGTCTGCTTTACTTACTGCACTTAATGTCTTAAAAAAAATACTATTATTGTAAGTAAATAGTAACTTTGACATTTGGTGTTTCTAAACTATCAATATTTTAACATTTAACAGGACCTTACAAGACAAAGTAGATTTGAGTGTACTATATATATTTAACTTAAATATTTAACAAATAAACTTAAAAAATCACTTAATATGTAATTGAATAAATGGAGGAAAACATTCAACACTATTCACTGTGTAGTTTCATGGGACACCCTGAACATTAGAGCGGCTCAAGTCAAAAACTAAGTATTTTATAAACATTTTATTTTAAAAAGTTCTAAATGTACAAACATGTTAAAATCGCAAAACCAGAGTTTAAGAACAATTCATTAAGCGGCCATTTTTAAGGTATTTTAAAAAAGGGACATTTTAGAACATGTATAACAAAAAGAAAAAAAAAGATATTTTTTTCATCTCTAAGGGTGTCTTTGTTAGGTGAAAGTGCGCATCAATAAAATCTATGATTTTGGCACTAAAAATGCTCAGAAAACTTGGATTTTTCAAATTATTGAGTATTAGTTTATTTAGTCTTATAGACAATTATCTGGGATTTCCAAAATGATATAAAACATTATTCTCAGTCAACAACTTTGGATTATATAAAAGTTTTAACTTGTAAAATCAATGGTTCAAAAATGGCCCAAAAATAACTGTTTTTCCGGCAGCACTGGAAAAAATTGTCAAAACCAAAAATATTTTGGATTTTTCTTAGTTTCATATATATGTATTCAAAAGAAAAAGTGCACCTCTGAACAATTTTGACAGGGCCATCCTACTGTACATGTCACATGTGATGTATTTGGTGTTGTTATAATCTGTTATATAATAAAACATCTTTCAGGATTAATAACACTCCCTGCATAATGTGTATGAATAAAAACATATCATGAAGCTAGACTGTTTTCAATTAAAATTTGTCTTTCTTGTGTAAGGGAATGTTCAGAATTCGAGCGCAAAGGGACGGTCCCTCTGTATAGACACTAATTCATAATTGATGTTTTTTTCAGTAACAGCAGCCCAATAACATTTGAATTTATTATATTTTAATCTCATTGTGTTCGTTAATTGAAAATGTCATTATTTTGTAATTTTTTTTGTTTTTTAACTTTCTATTTCTAAAATAACACTATTTTATGCATTCAAAATTGGTATTGCCTGTGCAAAAAGCGGAATTGAACGCGGCATGACAAATGAAAAGTTGTGCACATACGGGAACAAAATCTACAAAATCTACGAACCAAAATACGAGAAATGATTAATTGATTGTAGTAGAGACGTCGTCTTTGAATACACATTTTACATGATTTATTACAAAAACGTAAATTTCTTTCGAATTCAAATATCAAAAATTTTCATATTTTAGTACATAATAACGAACACATAATGACATCAAAATATAAAAAATTTAAATGTTATTGGGCTGCTGTTACTGAAAAAAGATCAATTAGTGTCTATACAGAGGGACCGTCCCTTTGCGCTCGAATTCTGAACAAAAAATCGGCTTTTTCTTTGGCCCCAGTTGTCTTTGAAAAGTAAGACTATTACCAATCAAAAGCGAATAGGCTGTTTAGTTTTCCCTGAAATTACCCAAATAAGTGAACGGTCCCTTTAAACAAAAACAAAAAATGTATTGGAATTAAAGTATACCTGATCAAGTTTATTTATTAATTTTTCTTTAAACTTCTGTACTACATCTTTGGAACAACTCTTGCCTTAAAATGAATAGTATTATAATCTTTTGAGGAAAAAAATGTAATAATGGAATTTCTTACGAGATGAAATAATCTTGATGAGTCAAAGAATGTTTCAAGATTATATCATCGATTTGAATAATTCCATTATTAATTTTTTTGCCTCATAAGATTAATATTATATTAAGAAAAAGCATTGATAAACGCTAGGAAGTGAACAACATTAAAATTGTTCCTCCTGAATCGTGTAATAATGGGAAATCTTCCACGATATGTTCACTACTAAGGAACTGACTCTTTCGTCTATAAAATCTGCCACAAATTTAGAGAAACTTCAAAATTCATTTGACATATGCGTGCAAAATACATAACCTTGAAAGCGAGTTGTTAATCATATGGAAACACAGCGCAATATTAAGTAAATATATAGGACAAGAAAAGAATAATATAAGAACTATGATTTCATGCATTTAGTACATTTCATTATTTGTACAGGATAAGAAGGGTCCAATCAGTTATTTGACCCAGACATGACACTGAGTGTCAGGTTTTGGCCAAATGTGCAAAGTTATCTTTTTAACTGTTCATATTTATCAACTTAAATTAAATAACTTTAAACCAAGGGTTTTTTGGGCCTTGCTCACTATTCAGGCCTAAAATTCTGCTTTTGACTATTACAAAACTATAATTAATGACATCTAACAAATTTTGTTTTAAAATATGTGGTATTTTTATGCAAATGAGATGCATAGCAAATTCAAAATTTTAGATTTATTTTAGCAGGAGAGCATCCTATCTTATAACTGATTAAAACAAATGTAAAAGTTAATAACCATGTCGTTATTTTCCCACCCACTAATTTATTTGATAACTAGAGTTTTTTTGTTAATTTTTTGAAGTTAAAACCAATACAACATTGTCAACCATTAACATTAAGACCCCCCCCCTCCATGTAATGTCGTCTTCAACCTAAAAGCTCCTCTCGGAGACGAGAAACAAAACCAAACAATTTCAGCCCGCTTCTCTTTGTTCTCCGACAACGGAATATAAACACTTTTATTAATTGTGAACCACTTCAAAGTTAAGCAAAGAATATTTCCATATAAAGTATTTTTCCTTAACATTTAATTGTCACTCTTTTAGTTTTAATGTATAAAAAAGCGTCTTAGGACTCCCCGACAGTTTAACCCACAAATACTCAAATAGATCGTAAGAATCTTTTCATTATAAATTCGTAAACCATTGTAATAATTATTTATCATTATTCATTTCATTTTTTTAGGAAATAAAGAGTTTTCTGCATTATCGGTTTTTATTTGAGGGTTATTCCGTTGCCTATCTGTTCATCGTCAGAATCTTGTTCCTTTCCGACAACAAACATATACAAGTGTACAGAGCGTACACACTATTCTGATAAATTCCAAACGCCATGTCTTCTACTTTTCTACCGTCTTTGGTTGGAAGTAGTTTCTTATTGATATTTGCTCTCAGCACAGGAAGAGTTACTAAAATGTTTATTATAATATTTGCGCCAAAACCTGACACTCAGTTTCAAATTTGGAACATAATCATGGTTTATAAATTGGAACTTTCTTCACCTGTTATGAATTTACATATCTTAATTTACCGATAATGGCAGCAAGAAGGCTAGAAGGCACACAATTTCCATCTTCCTTTACATGACCTAAATTATAGATATGTTCTACTAAAAATGACTATTATCATTGTGCATCTCAAGCAGGGAATAGGAATAAATGGAATGGAAATGTCGCTGGTCTTGTATGAGAAAGGCAATCGCACTGCTTTGCAGACAAGTTCGGTATCACACACGCACACTCTTTTGGTACAGACACACAACATGACTACAGTCAAGGAAATTTTTTTAGTGTACTTATAAGCAAGTAAAACTTAAGGTTTTAAAAACTCAAAATCTAGAAAACAGCGATTTAAGTCACATTGCGTTCACCCTTAACCATGATCACAATCCAAATATATATAAAATACATATATATTACACTTATTTTTTAATTAACAATTAACAATATACAAATTTACACTCCTAGACTGTATAAAGCACAAATGCCGAGATTCTTATGTACTGAATATACCTACAGTACACCCCCTTCGGTTACTTACACACACTCTTTTATAGTACAGACACACACACATGACGTTTCCGGCCCCTGATCTCAACATTTTGAATGTGTCGGATAAAGGTTTAAAATCGTTTAGAAAAAGATTTTTCAAATTTTCAGCTTAGTTGTATTATTTTCGACAAATCTGTGTGGATTACAATTGCTTTACAAAAGGCGAATTTACAACAAAACTGAAAAATACTCTGCCCATGCAAAATCAGACTTATAAACGAAAACTTTTTAAAAACTTGTGCCAACTTCATTTAAGTATATAACCTTAAAGTTCTAATAACCTGCAGTAAATCCTTGAGAATGCAATTTCTGTCGTATCTTAAAGTCCTGCTTCCAACTGCAAACAATACATTCAGGGCACAACAGTGACATAAGGAAGGAATTAAAAACCACTAAAGTTTATAATCATCAATTTTTTTGTGGCATGCACTTTAAAGAATTTGGTATCGCCTGTCCGTCTAATCCAACAAAATTGTATTTCAAATCAAATCAAATCAAATCAAATCAAATCAAATCAAATCAAATCAAATCAAATCAAATCAAATCAAATCAAATCAAATTAAATCAAATCATGGGTTTTAGGGAAAGCTTTAGGCTCCATTCATCAGCCCAGAGTTAATAGCCACTAGATGGTTTAAAACAAGTGTTTAGGATCTAGATCCGGATCGGTTGAATCCACAAAATTTTGGAATCCTGGATCCAGATCCGCAAAATATGGGGATCCACGGATCCGGATCCAAGTGGCAAAATATCAACCCAAAACTGCAAAAAAAATATTTACTCTCAAAACCACAAACCGAACTATTAAATAAGATTATAAAAAATTTCCTGATTTAGTAATGGTTGATCAAGGTTTAACATAAAAATAAGCGATAAAATATGACCAAAATTTGAAAATTTTGCTTTGTTATAAAAAAATTCTGTAAATTTTGAAGAAATAACCTGGATCTGGATCCAGATCCTGATTTGGCTCTGGATCCAATTTTTTGGATCCTAAGCACTGTTTGAAACTGTTATAAACAATGCTTAATGTTAGAGATCACAAGTTAAAGTAATTAGCTGTAAATCACTCAATAAATTTTAAGTCACAGACTTAGAGAATAAGAGAAAAAATTTAACTTTTACCTGTCTCTTACAGTTGTTGCTGTGATTGCTGGGTTTTCCATTCTCAAGTATTCGAAAATCCTTTTCTGCTCCACTGCCATCTGAATATGTTAATTTTACTCATTAAGCTTGAGCTTTACAATAGTGTTAAAATGTGTGCAATGCTAATATCAATATAAATATGAAGAATTTGTGCCTTCCATTTTCCTTCAAATTTAAATTTCCTTTAAATTTTCCTTTCCTTCTACTGTACTTTCGTTTCCCTTTTCACCTATTCCTTTCCTTTTACTTCCCTTTCCGCACCATTTTTTTCTGTTCCAATATTTCCTCTTCCCTTCCCCTACCAACTTCCTTATTTAAAGTCGCAGTGTATGTAAAAAAATTTTTAGTATCCCTAAACACAAAGATTCACAATGGTAACCTTGAAATGTTAATCAGATCAATGATATGGAAGGTATCGATCATTATTATAAGTTTAAATTGACAATTTCCAAATTTTTCCTACAGGATAAAAGTGTGTCATTTTTTAGTCATCCCACAATTGTGACTAATCAATTCTCTAAATATTCATAAAGACAACAATTTTAAGGGTACAGTTGTGATTCGGACATAAACATTTTTGCATAGAGTCGTTTTAAATTTTTCTTAACGTTTCACTTGCATTCATTTATACAGTGCTTAGGATCCGGATCCGTTGGATCTGCAAAAGTTTGGCTTCCTGGATCCGGATCTAGATTCGAGAAAATATGTGGATCCACAGATCCAACCAAAAACTGCAAAAAAATAAAATTTTAATCTTGAACCTAAATCTGAACTATTGAAAAATAGAGATTATAAAAAGTTCCTGATTATTGGATGGTGCATCAAGTTTTAGCATAAAAATAAGCGCGAAAAAAACCAAAATTGAAATTTTGAAATTTTGCTATGTTAACAAAAATTTAGTAAATTTAAAAAAAAATAACCTGGATTTGGATACGGATTTGGATCCAGATCCATTTAAGACAATATCGAAAACTTAACCATATTTACACTTGAAATAATGCTTCAATATTCTTGAATATTCTGTTTATTTTACCTCCATTGTCAGATTTTCAGAAGGAAACAGAATATTTCCCTTAAAGTATTCAATGGTTGAATCAATCTCTTCATCAAGTTTTGCAACTTTGGGTGCGGAATCCACAATCTCAACCGACTCTGAATAAGTTGTTAAAATTAATTTAACGGATCACAATGTGACCCGTTGTCAAAACCCTATTTTTTCAGAGGTCCGTATAATATCATTAAATATCACATTTGGGATCTTGTTTGAAAGTACATTTATTGGCCTGAAAATACACTTTCTGTGTCATTGTGAAGTTTTGAAAGTTTGTTGTGTCTGTGTACTACACTTAAGTTATGTGAAGTGCATTTGTGGTGTTACGCGATGTAAATATAAGAAATCAATATTTAAGAGATAATTTATTTGAAAAAATAAACATTAAACACTCCCTTACACTTAACATTTTGCGATATGGATTTTTCTTCTACTATTTTTACATCATACTTCCAATTAATTGTTTGTTGCTATGCAAAGACCATCCTGATACAACGTAATTAAAGTAAATGAACACCTGACAATTTTCGCTTTCTGTCTATATTGTATATCCGATGCTCCTTAATAAACATTCATATAATAATACGATATTTTGCATTGCTATAAATATCAAAATCTATTTTTTATATATTTTTTAACTTATGACAAATCAAAAGTGTATAACAAAAAAACAAAAAAATTTGACATTACATTTCATTTTCAATATTTTAATTTTCGCTTTAAAGAAACTTAAATATCTCAGTGCACATTTAAACATTATTCATAATATTGCCAAAAGTCTATTGTTAATTATTGATAAATAATAAAGATGGATAATCTACACTACTATTACACAATTACAGAAAAATACTGGGTTTTTGATAGCCTGCACCCCACCCCCAAAAAAAAGAAATGATTAAATAATTTCAAAACATACCCATAATTTTTTTTTTAACCCCTTTTTCCACATTTTTTCATGTTTTTCAAAGCTTTTTTCACCAAAAAATCTGAGTCAAATACCAGCTAGGTGTTTTTAACACCTGCTTGTTAGTCAAGAATCTCATTACTAACATCAGAAGGAAGTCAAAGGTTTTTCAGATCCATTTTCCACCCTAGTTTATGATATTTTCCCACTTTAGTTAACATTTTCAGATTTTCTGGATTCATGAATTCATTTTTCTAAGAATTTGAATGAATATCTGCTTGATAAGTTGATACTCATTACTAACATCAGAACGAAGTTTAAGGTGTTTAAGGTTTTTAGATCCCTTTCCCCCCTATGGCATATTGTATATTTATTATATTTATTCTATGGGTTTTACTCGGAATTTTTGGTGAAAAAGCTTTAAAAAAAATTGAAAAATGTTAAAAATGGGGGAATTTCTTTCCAATTTTTTATTTTACTTGGAAGAAACACAAATGATGCCATTATGCAGAATTTCATTCAGATTTCTCAAAAATTGAAGATAGGAGTCCAAAATGTATTCAAATTGGTCAAAGATACACCCCCCCCCCCTTTCTCGTTTTAGGGACTGTAATCGTGGCTACAATTGGCCCTCCATTAATAGAGTTGAATGTCCGATCTACAGACATTTTGGTCTGATCAAGAAAAGTTTGTTATGATGTATGTATGAATATAAATCTGTGCAGTTTCATTTCAGTAATATTTAAACAACATATTACCAAAAATAGTTTATGAATAAATTGATCGTCATTGTGGGAAATGAGTGTAAAGATTACAAAAAATGCGTTCAATATGGAAAGGCATACCTGGTGAATATTTGCAACTTTATAATTATAAACCATCGGGCGTCCTAAATCAGATAACATTTTAAAATTAAGGTATTAAAAAAGCTTTTTATAAAGAACTAGGTAAAGGGCCCGGCGTTGCCCGTGGAAATAAATGGTTTAAAAAAAATTGGATTTTTTTTAGCCTTTATCACCCTCCCGCCACCCATAAGTGTCCACAAAAAAAATTCTGCCCAATCGGTCCAGCCGTTTGGCCGGCTATAGGGAACATATATATATATATATATATATATATATATATATATATATATATATATATATATATCACTCTTGTTTTATTTTATAGAAGAAAATTTTTTTATCATTTGAGAGGTGTATTATGTATGAATCTAACCAATTTTAGGACACATTTAAGTATTTTTCCAACACTTATTATGTTTTTTGAATTGGTTCTCATATAGTTTAGATTCGTGCAATATACACCTGCGAAATGATTAAAAATTTGCCTCTCTTAATAAGAAGCTGCAATAAATATGAACAACTTTAAAATTGTTGCAATTTATAAAACAAAACAAAGGTCTTCATCTCAAAAAAAGTAGACTTGTTCTACAAATTGTTTATAAACCATTAAAATTGTATGCTAATGTTGAGATAAAAAAAAACAAAACAAATATGATAAAACAATGCTCATCAGTCAATATTATAATTGTCCAAATAGTGAAACCTACTAAAAAAATTCACAACTTCTCCAACCAAGAAAAATGATAGGAAATGAATTCCAAGAACAATATGTTTTTGGACTTACAAATAATCAATTCAAAAGTTTTTAAAAAAATTGTCTGCGGCCCCCTTTATGATTTTTACAAGGCAGCATTTTAGGGATTATTATTTACTACAATATAAATATTAAAAATTATATCTTTATAGTTCTCGAATTTAGGAAAGGAAATAAAAAAAAATTTGAGGGGGGGATGGGAAATCACAAATTTGTACTATATACACCCCTGAATAATTGCATATCATTACCATGCTCACTGATAACTGGTCAAGGTGGTGATAAATGTCAGTTTGGTATTTTGATGGTATATATGTATATATAGAAAAATGCCATTAAAAGTCTGATCTACACTGCCCATTCTTAAGAACTCACCATTCTGATCAAATTTAACATTTTTCATATAGTGTTGGCTTCTTTTGTCCCCTCGAAAAACTTGATCACAGCCCGGAACCACACAGATGACTACAATAAACAATGTCTATATTTTAATTGGGCAATAAGTTTTTCCAGTTAAGGGTTACCCTATTAAAGTAACAAAGTTAAAGGAGACATAAAAGAGTAAATTTAGTGAGTAGTATATACTTAAGAAATAAAAGTGCATATTTTGTGCGCTAATCAGTGCTTAGGATCCGAACCCGTAGGATTTTGGCTTCCTGGATCCAGAACCGCAAAAATAAACAGAATAACGGATCCGGATACAATGGGCAAAATATCAACCAAAAACTAAAAAAAAAATGTACTCTCAAAGCCCAAATCTGAACTATTAAAAAAGAGATTACAAAAATTTGCTGATTTCTGACTGGTTGATCAAGTTTTAACATAAAAATAAGCGAAAAAATAAGACCAAAAATTAAAAAATTTTGCATTGTTAAAAAAATTCCGTAAATTTTGAAGAAATAACCTGGATCTGAATCTGGATCCATTTATTCCCAGTGCGGATCCAGGTTCCTGATTTGGTTCCGCGTCAAAATTAATTGGATCCTAAGCACTGGCGCTCACTTAACCCGAAAGTAATAAATTAACTTAATGAAATGGCGATACTTTTGAGTTCATACCGACAGGGGAGTATGGCAAAAAGTCCTTTCTAGAAACTGTGTTGTAAACCAATATTTTTGCATTCAAGTCCAGGGGTGTTTTTTTGCAATACAATTTTTTCTTCAACCCCCAACACAACTCCTCCCCCCCCCCATGAATTTTATTTATTGGTTTTGTGAATTGAATTCAGAAAAAGAAATAATTTTGGTAAAATATATCAGTGAAAAAAATCGCCTTTCTGTTAATTTTTACATTTTTCCGTCAAATTAACTAAAATTATTTCCCTGAAAAAATAACACTCGTGTTCAACACAGTAATATTTATATTCTAAAAAATGTATGTGGATAAACCATGGCGCAACTAGTTGGGGTGCCCAACTTTATTATTACCACCCCCCCCCCTCTCCTGCTATCATCCAAATGGTCAAAAGATCATGATAGTATCATGATCTTTTGACCATTTTGGCTTAAATTTTGCCAATTAAAAAAAACCCAAAATCGTTCTTATGAGCTTTGAGCATCATTTCTAACATAATTTCTTTTATTATTTTCTCTTATTTTAAATTTAAAAAATGTATTCTCACACAAAAAGTCTGTTATCATGTTACATAAAATGTTATAAAAACTGCAACCTAAGAAACAGCAAATTAATATAACAGACTTTGAAGAAATAATAAGGATTGTGTCGGACTATTAGGACTTTTGCAGGCTTTATACGTCGAAGTACAGAAGTAGGCTCCAAACTGCCAAACAAAAGAAGAATGATTTAATATTACAGACAGACCAGAGACAGTAACAGAGCTACAATTATGTGATCATATCAGGAATATCAATGAATAAAAAAGACAAAAGATGAATTACAACAAAATATTGTTGACTGTAGTGTGGTACTTCATACAGTATACAGTGTATACTGTATGAAGTACCACACTACAGTCAACGTTTTTTTTCTTCATATTTAATATTCACTACGTTTATACTATACACGTAAAGAATATGAGTATGATTAAGCCTGGGACTAACAGACACTAAGAAATACATAAAAATATATTTAAAAATCAGATGAACAATATTTTTTGCGCTTTGTGCTGTTAAAAGTATTTTATTTAAAACTTAAGAACAAGCGAATCTCCCTAAAAGCCAAGAAATATATTAATAACAAGAATTAACCTGATTCTCTCACAGTAGCGGCCATACTGTTAGGACCACTGTCCTTTAGATCCTTAAAATATAAATATTCTTTAAAGGGTTCATCCTTAATCTTAACGAGATATTAATTAAACCTTAACGAGAAAGTTCTGAAACCTTAACAAGCTAATAATTAAACCTTGGAGGTAGTAATAAAACCTTTATGAGATTGTATTTAAACCTCGAGGAACTAGTAATTAAACCTGGACGAACTATTAATAAAACCTGAGGAGTTAGTAATAAAACCTGTATGAGCTAGTAAAAAAAATCTCGAGCTTGTAGCTAAACCTTGCTTGAGGAATTAGTAATGGAACTTTTACGAACAATTAATTAATGAAATCTAAAGGAGCTAGTAATTAAAATTTTACGAACTATTAATTATAAGTTGACAAACTAGTGATAAAACCTTGATAAACTATTAATTAAACGTATAGGAGCTAGTAATTAAACCATGTGAAATTATTACTTAAACCTAGGGGAGCTATTAATAAAATGTAGATAAGCTAGTAATTAAACCTTGACACACTAGATATTAAACATTGATAAGATAGTAATTAGATGAGATATTAATAAAACCCATTAATTAAATCTTGATGAGCTAGTAATTAAACTATGACGAGCTAGTAATTAAACCTAAACAAATTAATATGAAAGTGTCTTACAGGGAGTGACCGGCAATGTATTGTGATTGAACTGAGTTGAGTATGCAGCATTGAATTAAAATCTTTTAAGGATTCATTTGAAACACATAAAATGTTTCCACAATGTATTTTACTGAGTTTGAGTGCAAAGTCGACTCGAAAGATAATCGATGACTATAGGTTGTAATATCTGAATGATTTGTTTGAAATTAAATTGATTTTTTTACGGTCTAAGTCGTATGTTGCAATTTTCTCAATTTGTATAGACGCCATTTTAATCGGTATGAGACGTCTTTAACAATTTTCTCCTTATAGACGCAACAAATAGAAGTAAGATTAGTAGCGATCAAAAGCGCCTTTTTATCGCATTAAGCCTATACCCCCTTTCATTTTTCGCGAACACTCCCTTTAAGTTTAGTAAATATACGTCGTAGACAGACGCGTACAAGGGCCCGGCATTTGTGTAGGGGGTGACTATAATTTGAGCATTAAAAAACCATTTTTTGAAAAAATATTGATACCTTTTTTAACTATGTTAAGGTAAACAATTCAATCATGTGTATTATGCACACTTTCACATTACTAGTGTTAATAAATTAAATATGTAATATTCTCAAGTGGATTCATCACTCTCTGTGGTGTACGCTTCAGGGGTTAAAAATTGAGATGGAAACGTTTCTTAAAAAATATCTATATTTTCACAGGATTGATAAAAATCAAATACATAATGTAATACATATATACACTGAAAGCAGTATCAATTAAAGATTTATTAATGAAACTTTTTTAATTAAGGGCAAAAGGGAGATTTTTAAAAACCTTCATATCTCCATTTGAAGCAAGAAATGCATGAGTGACTTTTGTAGAGAAACCACAAATAAAAATTATCAGTTTTCATGAATTTAATGTAACACTTGATCGGACAAAGCTTTGTAGGGTATTGTAGTGAATCAGAATTGAAATTATGTCTGCAGTAACTTTAAACCTTTCAATTGATTCTATATTAATTAAACTGCTTTGTAGGTTAGTGAACTTTAAAGTAATGAAAAAAAAGTTACAAAATGATTAAAAAAAAGATAATGTAAAACTATAATAATACTGCCTCCAAAATCAAGAATCCTAGTTTTATTCAACAAATTGTTTTAATATTTATACATTTAAAATACTATCCAGTATGCAATGTATAATGTAGATGTAAAATTAAGAGCCCCCCCCCATAGGGGGACACATTTAGGGGGGCTGGCCAGGGGGGGGCATTCATATAAGGGGGGGGGCGAGGGTCTGCCCCCCCCCCCTCGTACACCACTGGACTTGTAGAAATGTTTCATGTCTCAAATGAATCATCAAGAATTGTTCCATATATACTATATATTCAGTTCAACCACCATACATTGCTTACTTAAATCTAACATTACGCGGGTGCGTCATGGCATACCATTTTTGCCCCCCCAAAATTCTTGATCCAAGGAGCATAATATAAAATGCTAAACATCCCACTCATAATTATGGCATATTTTAATCTAGATCAAATGTGTCAAAGTTCAGTTTCAGACCATTGACAGATTTCCCATTGTAATTTTTAGCAATATGCTTGCACTGAGAGGGGCTATTGCATAAAACGCGGGCGCTGCCATTATGAACCTCAATTTTCTGAATGCTTTCAAACTCTGCTTTGTTTAGTAGTTGCTTTAACCCAGCATCTATGGTCAGCATGCTAGCTCCACCTATTTCGTTAAGCATCAAAGTACACTTAGCAGTCTTTAAAGAAGCCTGATTTACAGAGAGAGAGGGAACAGAACCCCCTTTCGAAGAATTCCCCTTTAAGTGGTTGACCATGCTTTCAGGAGGGGGAAAATATTCTTCTATGATTGTGTAAGACTTATTGGTGTTGTTCTCTCTGTCTCTGTAACGAAGCTGCATCAGGTGTCCAACAAAAATTATTTGCGTCGAGCAGTCAATCCATTTCCTATATTTATATGCTTTTCGCTTCATTGCTTTATATTGCTCGCGGTACCCCATTGGAATATCTCTATCAAATGTAACCCCTTTAGGTAGATTCTTAGCATATTTAAGGATTTCATTTCTTTGAAAACTATTTTGAAACTTGACTAGTATTGAGGGCAGTCTTTCCCCCCCATCCTTTCCCAATTTGACAACAGACACAATAGTGTATGAAATTTCAGTTGGAATGGACAGTTTAGATAGAAGTTCATTTACAGCGTCTTTTGGATTTTCAGCTTTCAGCCCAAAGATAAGCAAATTGTTTGCAACCTTTTCGTTTTCAATAGACAAAGTGTACTTGTAAGCAGACAGATGACTGGTCTTATTCTTATCCTCTATTTCATTGACAATGTCCTCTTTCATTGAGACCTTTAAAGATTCAACAGTTGATTTAAGTTCGGACATGTCTTCTCCTTGGGAAGAGACGATACTATTCAGGGAGTCATATTTATTGGAGAGACTAGAGACTTCATTAGCTATCGGTTCGAGTTTAGAATCCAGCCCAGCTATAATTTTCTGGTTATTCTCTTCGAGAATAACCTTGTATGCGTCGGCGCTTTTGCCAACAGCTTCCCCAATAAGTTTTTGGACATCCTCAGAGTCCATCTTAGGCTTCTTAATAGACTCCACGGAACTTTCGGCTTTTCGCTTGTTAGAGGTTAATCTCCCAACCTTTACAATTTTAAGAATGGTAGAATCTTCAGAGTTGTGCTTATTATCTACTTTCCAGTCTGCCATTTGGACTAGCCCACCCCTTATATTCAGGTTATAATATGGAGGTATGCATATAAATAAGCTTTTTCCATATATCTAAATTATGATAGGCCTATGTATTGAAAAATGCTTTTCGCTTTTTATTAAGGATGTATTAAGGATGAAGTGAGACAAGGCTTCACGCCATCCAACAATTTAACGCAATTTTTGACTTCGCTATTGATATTTGGAGGGACGCTACATCAAAAATTATATTATTGCTCTTCGTTCAGAACCTTTTTCTCAACTAAAGAATACTAGGAGTTTAAGTGGAATAAATCGATCTAATCCGAAAAGAACCTGAGCCCTAGTGGTGAATGCTGGAACTTCTAAGAGATTCCTTCCTTTTATTTTTCTGAAAATAAAACCGTTAGAATTTGCCCAATCTAATCATATTTACACTATAAACATATAAACTAGGCAAATCAGAACGAAACATAGAAATAAATCCATTATAGAACTATTTTAGCTGCCAAATTGGACTTATATGATTCCGAATTTTGTTTGTACCATAAAGATACTGAATCAGTGTGCCACCTTCCATTAATTTGAATTTCTTCCTTGGTCATTCCATTATCAAATCCGCTGGAAACTCCGCCACCTTTGGAACTTTTTTCAGAATATTTAAAAGTGAACCCTGCCTTCTCCAACATCTTCTGTGACCCAGCCGTTGAATTGGATCTACAAAGACTAGTTCTTCCATCAGCCACCTGAACTGTTGAAGTCACTTCCGATCCGTCGACTATTCTTGTAACGTCTCGATTTCTGATACGAAAATTGATAAAATTTTTGTCCTCAATTCCCGAATCACTGAAGTGTAACCCAAAACGCTTGAAGTAAAGTCGGGTTAACCTGACTGAGCAATAGTCAGTGTCCGTACTATCTAAAACTGCAATATTACCGTTATGGTGTTGATCATTCTTGGCTCCCGGAAAATATATTGTTATATGAGATCCACGGTCCGTAAAATGAAAAGCTTGCAGTTTTGAATAACAATCAAATCTACAAAATGTTTTAAATTTGATAATTTCTTTGAACACTGATCTGAAAAGTTCTCCATTAATCAAATATATGTCATGAAGAAAAGGAAAAACAAATTTATCGATCAATACTCGAATAATGGCCGAATCTATAATTTCAGGTTTCTTAATAGGCGGTTTCTGCAGAGCTGAAAATCTTTGCCCTCCTTGAATTAACAGTAAAACTCGACCATAAAAAACTGTGTCTATTCTGTCTAATATTTTTTCTAACCATGATAGAGCTGGTCTAATATTACACCAAAATGAATAACTAAAATTCTGATCTCCGGCATACCCTAGAAACATCTCCAGATCGTTCCTGGAAAAACTGGCAATATCCCGATTCATCTCTGCCAAAAACTTTGCGAATTTTCCGATCACCGACTTATAGTTTGAAATAGTCCCCTCTGCAAACGAATGATTTAATAAGTTATAAATTTCTCCAAGATCGGAAACTTTTTGAACTGCCGGCCTAATTTCACCCCCGAGCATTAAAGGGGCCGATAGGTTCTTTGAAGGAACTGTACTTTGTCCTGAATTAATATCCTGTGATAAGAGAACATAGTTCTCTCCTGAATGACTTTCTCGAATCTGTGTGCCTAGGATTGCCACATCAATTCTGTTCTGCTCAGATATTACTTCTTCCTCCCTGCCTACTGTCAAATAAAAGTTAGGAACATCCATTCTGAAACATGAAAACAGTATAAAATATAACTGAATGCAACATAGAAATTTACAAATCAACCATTAAACAATTGTCTAATTGATTTGATTTAATCAATATCGCAAGCATAGAAAAATTCTTTTTACCGAAAAAAATTGAATTTTTACAAGCGTTGGAAAGTGAAAAAACAGATTGAAAAATGTAGTATTTTGAAATGAATCTTGCTAAGTAAATTCCACGCTTTATAAAAGGCCAAAAATTTGAACTTTTCCAAATTGGCAAAATGACAATGCTAGTAACGTTAACAAAAGATAAAATATGTTTAATGGTTTGAATGATTAACTTTGGTGGAGGACAACACCAGTAAACTTCAGAACATATTAAAGTTTGAGCAAAAAAATCAATACCAGCTGTTCCAACTTGAGGAATCTTTGAAAAAAACTTTAAACATTTTGAATTTGAATTTGAAGAAAAACAATCCACAGTCGGAACCACGTTAAAGTAATTCAAAATGGCATCATAAGAAATTTTATCAATCGACCATTCATCAGTGCTGGAACTAAATTTAGAGCCTAAAACAGCTAACTGAATTTGTATAGAAGTACGAGGACTCCATATCGGAATAATTTTAATATTGTACTGAAACTCGAATTGTTTAATTCGTAAAACAACTTTCTGAATTTGAGATTTGCGTGAACCACGTTTCAAAAAAAAAAAAAGCGAAACAGCACTGTGAATCCGTCATCCAATAAATTATGTGATTCGACAAAGATTGAAAATAAACCGGTTGAGAAGAGAGAGCCTTCTCTACAGCAAGTAATTCTCTTAAGCCAGAAGAACTGAGAGCTTCGTATTCGTTAAAAATAAATTCTTCAACAATCTCAAAATTATCGTTTTCATATATAAAAGCACAATTGTCAGAAGCATCGGAAATAAACAATTTACAATTTTTGCGAAATTCTTCTTCAACAATACAAGTCTTAAAAAATTCTATTTCGGAATGTTCAAAAAATTTTAATTGCTGTATTAGAATTTTTTATAGAATTTCCATTGTACTTGAACATTATATTACGAAAAAACTTAATTTCAGATAAACATTGTTGGTCTAGCATAAACTTTACATTCCAGCCAAAATCTGTGACATGTTTACCTAAATAATGATGACAATGGCGCATGCAAGCTGAACAAACATTGCCATGAGATTTGGTCAGATCAGTAATCATTCCAATTAAAGCGGCAAAATCCACAGATTTAATAAATTTCCTTTCTTCGTACATTAAAATTATGTTCCTAATGCTCTCATCGAGATAATTAAGTTTATAAACAGGAGCGAAATACTTCATCTGAACAGTATCTATTATTACACCCAAATATTTGAGCCTTTGAGTAGGTAATAAAACAGACTTGTTCCAATTAATATTCCAACCACTGAACTGAACAATCTTAAGAACAAATTCAACATGCATTTTGCAAGAAGAATATGAATTCGAAATTATCTTTCCATCATCAAAATACATTGAAAAATAAATGCCAAGATTCTGAACAAAAGATTTTATAGGCTTGATCAACTGATCTACAATATAAACGGCATCACTGAACCCGAACATTAAAACAGTAAACACATAATACTGAAAAGTTCCATCATCTTCAAGCAACTTAAACCCAAAATATTTATACTGATCAGGGGCTAACTTTACATGATGATACATATCAGCTAGGTCGAAAGATGCCATAAATTGATTGGGTTCAATCAAAGGCTCACAATAATCTAAATTATCCAAATGTGAATGATGTTCAACTATTCTGGGATTTATAAAACGAGACATATCTAAAACCGGTCTTAATTTTATTTCTCTTGTCTCTTTGTTTAATTTTTCAGCAACTGATAAAGGATTTACAATTAAAGGAGCTGAAGAAACTCTCTTTATACGGCCTAATTTTTCCCACTCTTTAATTTTTTCTTTTAAAAATACTGAATGTTTTTTTGCACTATTGTTATTATCTTCTTCGTAAAAATGGTTAGGGACCTGGCCAGGTTTAAACTGCAAAGAAAGTCCAGAACTCAAAATATCTATCACTGCAGTTCCAGCTTTCAAAACTTCTGCATAAAATCGAACACTTTTAGTATTGTGAATACAATTTCCAGAGTTAGAAAATGAAAAACCTTGACTTTCAATTTTGTTTAAATTTTCGATTAAAAGATTGTCTTGAATTGAAGAATCTGAAACACTGTTACTAGGACTGGTTTCAAAGGAAATCCCTCGTGATTTCTTTGTATTGAAACCTGTAGTTGACTCAGTAATGCCCGAGTTCTTTTTCTTGGTAAAATCTAAACAAAATTTTGTGCCTTGAAATTATCTAAATGTTTGAATCACCTAGACCATTCTGTCCCTTGATATTATCTAAAAATTTGAATCCATTGAATTATTCAGCCCCTTAAGATTATCTGACAGTTAATATCCACTGGACCATTCTGTCCCTTGAAATTATCTATAAGTTCAAACACCCTGGACCATTCTGTCCCTTGAGATTATTTATCAGTTCAAATCCTTTGGACCGTTCTGTCCCTTGAGATTATCTATAATCAAATCCCCTGGACCATTCTGTCCTTTAATTTTTTATCTATAAGTTCTAATCCATTGGACCATTCTGGGCCCTTGACATTACCTATTGGTACAAAATCCTATGGACCATTCTGTCCCTTGAGAAATATCTATAATTCAAATCCCCTGGACCAAACTGTCCCTTGAGATCATCTGAAAATTCAAGTCCCCTGGGTCATTCTGTCCTTTGAATTTATCTATCAGTTCGATTCCCTTGGACCATCCTGTGCCTTGAAATTATCTGAAACTCCAATTTTTGGACCATTCATTTTGTCTTTTCAATTTATCCAAGTTCAGACCCCCGGACCATTCTGTCCCTTAGTTTTTCCTATAAGTTTAAATTCTCTGGACCATTCTGTCCCTTAATATTATCTATAAGTTCAAACTCTCCTGGACCATTCTGTCCCTTGAGATTATCTAGTGGACCATTATGTCCCTTGAGATTATCTATAAAAATCAAACTTCCTGGACCATCCTGTCCCTAATATCAATTAAATTTAATTTATTTATCTAAAAAAATTTTTACGCCGTCTATCCAATATTAACTAATATATCGAAAATCTTAAAACAAATATAAACAAATCTTAACTCGATAAAAAATGATAAAAATAAAAACCCGATAAATGGTCTCCATTGGTCTCCAATATCTTTATTGGTCTCCGTTGGGCTCCAATAATTTTTACGAGAATTTGTTTACAAACTAACAATCAAAAATTAAAAATAGAAAATTCGATAAACGGTCTCCATTGGTCTCCAATATCTTTATTGGTCTCCGTTGGTCTCCATATAATGTTTTCGAAAATTTGTTTCAAACAACTCAATTTAAAAATAAAAATAAAAACCCGATAAATGGTCTCCATTGGTCTCCAATATCTTTATTGGTCTCCGTTGGTCTCCAATAATGTTTACGAGAATTTGTTTACAAACTAACAATTAAAAATTAAAATTAGAAAAATCGATAAATGGTCTCCATTGGTCTCCAATATCTTTATTGGTCTCCGTTGGTCTCCATATAATGTTTACGAAAATTTTGTCTACAAACTACTTTAATAAAATTAAAAAATTATAAATAAAAAATTCCAATAAATGGTCTCAATTGGTCTCCAATATCTTCATTGGTCTCCATAAAAATTTTTGACAAAAAATTGTTACAACCCACTCTAATTAAAATAAAATATCCCAATAAATGGTCTCCTAGGTCTCCAAAATCTTTATTGGACAAATGGTCTCCATTGGTCTCCAAAATGGTCTCCGTTGGTCTCCATAGAAAAATTTTACAGAAAATAAACTCAATAAAAAATTAAACCCCGCTAAATAGTCTCCATATAAATTTAACAAAGTAAAATAAGACCCATTTTCTCGAAAAAATAAATTACGGCTATCGCTCGGTCAAAATAATATCCAAATATCTATATAACTTATCCGCCGCTCGGTTTTCTAAAAACTGAACATACTGTACAGTATTCATACGTTTCAAAACCGGTTTTCTTCACTACGTGCAATATTGGTAATATTGGTAACGTTTGTTTTGACCGGAGGAATTTAAAGGATGAATACCGCAATTTATTCTTGAATTTTAAATTCTAAATATTTAACGAAGACGATCTGAAATTGTCTACAGTTTGTTTATTATTTAAAAACTTAAAAACCATGCCTGAGAAAAAGAAAGCAAGAAAATAAATTTCTAAAGATTTTTAATTCTTAAAATAAAATTTTTTCTCGAATTTTATCCAAATTATTCTTTGACATTTTTGTAAACAAAACATCTTAGATCACAGGCAAATCAGCTGTTCAGAAAACCGGTTTTATTATAAAATTACAGGTTTTCATTTTTCACAAAAATATTCTAAAATCTGGATTAATTCTGGTCAGCAGATTTTTCTTGGAAAGTTCAGACTCATTTTAAAATTTTTCAAAAATTTAAATTAAAGTTATTAAATGAAACCCTGAATCCTTGAAATCAACAACTTTGTGTCAAAATTAGTCATGCACTTACAGAAATCCAGAAACTAATTAAATGAAACAGAAATAAGAGGAAGCATGAATTTTAGCAAGTGTTACTTTAATTGTGAGAGTGAAAGTAAATATTTGTTTGAACAAGTGGTGTTGTGAAATATGATCAATATTTATAGTTTTTACTTAATGATTTCAGTTATGTCAAAAATGTCAAAATGAGTGAAGATGATCATCAGTTTAAACCTTGCATTGTTTTCAACCAGTCAGATCCATTCAAAATAGGTAAAAAGCTCTGGCTGTAATTTCCTAGAGAATGATTTGTAGACCCCGCCCCCCCCCCGTCCTTTAAATTTGTACATGATTTGTTATCGATCTTTAGGTAATTGTAAAATAAAAGACATACATGGAAAAAGGTGGTCATGTGGCCGCAGTCCCCGGCCCCTTAGCCTGTCCTAGCCGCTGTGCTCGTCCCATAAAGTGTTTTAACCTACCATAACCCTAAAAATATACTAATTTTGTTGAAAATTGTTGAAATTGAAGGTCTGTCCTGGCCGTTATAGCGCTCGGCCCCTTAGCCTGTCTTAGCCGCTGCGCTCGGCCCAGAAAGTGTCCTAACACATAACCTACCCCTGAAATAATACAAAATAAATCCAAAAATTGTATACTAGGACGGACCCGCTCTGGCTTTTTATAAAATTTATTTGAATTTAAACTAAATACTTTGTCTCTAACTGTATTCTAAATGTATAGGTAGGTTTTCGGGTCTGTCCTAGTGAACGAGGGGGGGGTCCAAAAATCGTTCTCTAGGAATATACCAGGTTTTCTAATTACAGAACAGAGCTGTAAATTCTTTGTGATTCATAGCCATAATTTGATATTCAGCCTCAGTTCCCTGTCCTTTAGCCTCTGCTAGCCACTGCGCTTGGTCCTCTAGCCTGTCTTAGCCACAGTCCTCGGCCCCCTACCCTATGCTTGCCGCAGTGCGGGCCAGCCACCTGTCTGTCCTATTATTAGTGCTCGGCCCTACGAGCCCGTCTTAGCCTCAGTGAGATCTGTGCTCGGCCCCCTAGCCTGTCCTAGTCACAATGCTCGGCCCCCTAGCCTATCCTAGCCGCAGGGCTCTGTCCAGAAACCGGTTGCACCGAACCTACCTCCGAAGTAAAAATCAAGCCTTTTTATTAATGTTAATTATATTTGAGATTTTATGTACAAAATTAAAAGTACCTTGTTTTTAATAATCACTCTTGTATCCTATGATTACTTTTGTTATTAAAAAAACGATTTAATCACTAGGAAACCGGTTTAGCAAGTTTTTTTAATTTTAGGAAACAGGTATGGCGGTATCCCTGTCAATCTCGTCACAAATCTGATTGGTTGGACAATTCTTATTCTTCTCTTTCTTCTTATCCGGAAATCTGCACTAAGGTAATTAGTTTTATAAGTAATTATGTGTTTGATAAGTTAATAACTGTTAAAATAAGCAAGCGGTGTATATGTTCTAGAAAAATCATCGCCGCCCCCCGCCCTCCCCCTCTTTTGAATTTTTTTCTTTTTCTTTTTTTTGCGTGGAGCATTGTTTAGGGTTTTATTAACTGAAATTGGGACTATATATGATTTTAGAGGGAAAAAATTAAATTTTTATGGTGAAATGTGTGAAAAAGGAAAACATAAAACTTGCCTTTTGAAGGCCTATTTTTTCTTTTTTTCCAGATCGTTAGAAGCAATTTTTAAAAATAGTTTAAAAAAGACAATTTTTTCCCGCCCCTGTATGAACATTATTTATATATTTGTAATGCCTGCAAAATGCTATTTGTTTTGCAAAAATGCTATTTTCAGAAAAGTTGGTAAAAAAGTTGCCAAATCAACCAAAGATGGTGTCGATGTGGCAACAAGATGGACCCACATTTTTTTTGAAAGGGACACAGTCCAGGTACTTACTCCAATGGTGCCTAGGATCCATTTCATTTGATGGGGATCCGGATCCTGGATTCACCTTGGAAAATAATAAATATTTTAAAAAAATGACTGATTTTCTGATGAAATGTAAAATTCAAATTTTTGTATTCTTTTTTCACTCATTTTTTTGCATTTTATCTTGATGAATCATTCAGAGATATTTGGGAGTTTTTGATAATCTTTTATTAGATAACGTTGAGATTTATGTTTAAAGCAAAAGTTATTTTTAACGGGTTTTGGTTGTATTTGCTCCATGGGACCGGATATTTGGGAGGTTTTGATAATCTTTTATTAGATAACGTTGAGATTTATGTTTAAAGCAAAAGTTATTTTTAACGGGTTTTGGTTGTATTTGCTCCATGGGACCGGATCTGTTGGATTAAAACATCAAACCTGAAAATTAACTTTTCAAAAATTCTGGAAATTTTTTTCTGATAAATGCTGACACTTTTAAATATTTAAGGAGGAATCTCAGGAACAGGGTGCAGGTATGTTCCACTTAATTTTCATCTGAAGTTTTTCCTTCACTTTCTAAACTTCTCCGACTTAAGTTTCACGTTTAAAATATTTTCCTTCACTTTCTAAACTTCTCCGACTTGAGTTTCACGTTTAAAATATTTTCCTTCACTTTCTAAACTTCTCCGCCTTGAGTTTCACGTTTAAAATATTTTCCTTCACTATCTAAACTTCTTCGACTTAAGTTTCACGTTTAAAATATTTTCCTTCACTTTCTAAACTTCTTCAACTTAAGTTTCACGTTTAAAATATTTTCCTTCACTATCTAAACTTCTTCGACTTAAGTTTCACGTTTAAAATATTTTCCTTCACTATCTAAACTTCTTCGACTTAAGTTTCATGTTTTAGAAGTTATAGAAAATGGTCTATTATATTAGATAGATTTTATCTTCTGTTGATAGTGGTAGCATGTAAGTAGATACAAAAAATCATTATAAAATGTTTTTTTTCAGAAACGCCCAGTGATGTTGTTGATGGGGGTGAAGAAGGTTTAAAGACTGCTGATGGGGTTGGTCCTGGGGCACATGGGAAGGAGGGAAGAACTTCTGAAGTTGAGAAAAGATCTGAAAGTCCAGAAACCGGTTCTATCGCCAGTAGAGCCAAGAGTATGAAAAGAGGAAGAAAAGTATTTTTATCTAAGGTCCGTCAACGGTCAACACGTGAAGAGACAATGCATTTTAAAGTGATAACAATCCATATATTAATTTTCAATTAATTTATCAGCACATGGTTTTAACTTTAGTACGAGGGGTTTCTCTTTTTCATAGTAACAAACTTTTTTGGACGTTAGGCAATCCAATATTTTGTGAGAAAAAAATATTTTATAGGGTATGTTATTTAAAAGAGGGCAAATGTTCCTTCAAACTTTTTTTTGAATACTTTCTTCTAATGATAAAAGATAAACAAGTTTTAAATTCTAGGAAAAGAGTCTCGAGCCTTTAATGGGAGCTGATGCTGTGCAGTATCTTAGGTAAAAATATTTGATCGCTGTTTGTTAAAATCTTGGTATAAATCACAGTGCTTTAAATCCGAATTTAGATCGCTCTACTCAATATCCGGATTTAGAATCCGGTTTTAATGAGAGTTTATCAAAACCTTTAAGGTCTTATTTTGGTAACTAAAGTTTCAGTTTAGAAATTTGCGAAAAAAAGTCAAAAAGTATTTTCTAGGACAGACCCCATTGATTTTATGCGTCAAAACGATGGATCAATTACAGAAAATTAGCCGTAAACTCAAATAAATTAAATTATTCTTGTTTGTTTACATTTCAAGAAACTTGCGCTTTGCCGCGTGCATAACCAGAGTTCGCTGCAGGTACGAGTTCTCTGCAGGCATGACACCGGATCAGGTTAAACTTCTAGGAGCGTTCTATATTTCCAGCAATATTCTTTAAATTTTAATTTTTATTCTTTTTATATTTTAGGTTTCAGAAGTATATAATTATCTATATACTAATGGTGACCCTTGTATCAGTAGGAGTTGTGTTGCCGGTTAACTTTCAGGTAAATAACTTTTCAGGGGTTTATTTTCAGGGGTTTATTTTTTTTACTTTTCAGGGGTTTATTTTTTTTAGAAATACTCAAATGATTTTTGAAGATTTCGGAGGAAAAAAAAAATTGGACAGCAATAAAGACAATGTTTCATTTTTTATTGGTTTTTTTTCTTTTACCTAAAAATTTTTTTATTTTCTTAAAATTAGGGATAAAGAAAACCTATAAAGAACATTTAAACACCTATATTTTGCTGTAAAAATTCTCATGTAAAAATTTGAATTTTGTGAAATATCTAACCCTTGCTTTAATTATGATTTTAAGACTCAATTAGGCCTTGGGAAATGAATTTTTGATTTGCAAGCAAAATAATAAAAATAAAAATAATTGTTTTTGAGAATTTATGTTATTATTAGGGTTCGCTTCAAGGCAACTCTACTGAGTTCGGGCATACGACCATGGCAAACATTGATCCTAGAGTAAGTAAACATCAAAGAATGAATTCAAGTAAATTGATTTTTTTAATTGATTTGTTGATTGCCTAATTGATTATATGGCATTTAGTTCGATCGATCGATTAGCTTAGTGGGTGGTTTATTGGATGATAATTGATCAATTGAAACATTGGATCGATTATCTGACATATTACTGTTTATTGGATCCGATTGTTAAATAGTAATTTAACCAATGGTGTGGATTGATTGATTAGTTGATTGATCCTTCGTATTACTGATTGATGTTTTACTTTATTGGTTAATGGGTGAAAAAAATGGTCAATTTTTTGCCATACTATTTGATAATCGGACTGTTGACATACAGAGCGTCCCATCATATTAGATTATCTCCAAAAAAAATTCTATTAGCCTTACTAAATTTTTCAAAATGATTCATTCTTCTGAAATTTTCTGATTTGTCCCCCAAATCGTAATTGACGCGGTCTAATTTGATGTGGGACACCCTGTATCTGTTGATAAATTTGTTATTTGGCTTTTATGGTACTTGTCTTATCATTAAATAATTTACCTGCTTGGTTTTCAGATAATGGTTTTATTTCTTGTTTGATTGATTGATTTATTTCTGGATTGATTATTGGTTTAATTGATCAATTATTGTTCGGTTAGTTGGTTTTTGAAATATTTATTGATTTTACGAATGCTTGGTTGGTTGAATGTTTGATGATTGCTTATTTTATCAATTGATTGGTTTGTTAGTTGGTTGATTATTTTGTTAGTTGGTTGATTGATTGATTGATTGACTGACTGATTAATCTAACAATTCCAGAATATTGCTGAGAGCTACCTGCTGTGGGTTCATATTATCCTGGCCTTCCTTCTCTTCCCCCTCTCTATATTCCTCATGAGAAGGTTTTCAATAGGTAGGAACATCCTTGGTTTTCCACGATTTAAAAATAATTATTTTCCTTTAAGTTTTCCGCTTTTCCAACATTTTCAGTTTTGATTACTCACGAGAGCTTTGAATTTTTTTCGAATTGATGTTCGCAGGAACTTTTTTGTTAAGTTTTTTTTTACAAATTTTCAGGTTTAGACCCTTAAAATCTTAAAGTTGTTTGATCTGATTTTTTATAGAAGACAGAAAACTTGAAGAAACACAGATTTTTCAAGATTAATCGGGGAGCGGGTGGGAAGAGGGTGTCATTTTTTTTACTAGATGACCATAACTTTTTTAGTTAGGGTAATGACAAGAAATTCATAACTTTTATATTTTAAAGCATAATCATCTGCAATTGGTCGCGTTCTATTGTAATTAGGGAAAATCATTACCTTTGAGATTTAGTAAAGTCATTTTGAGAATGTTTTTGTAGTAGAAGGACATCCCTTAAAGTCTGATTTGATTTGAAACTTTAAAAAAAGTTATTCTCTGTTTCCAGGTTTGCGAATGAGAGATATAAGTCTAGGGATAACACGAACAGTTGCCATAGAGCATATTCCACACAAACTCTGCACCATAGAGAACATTAGAGACCATTTTCAGGAACAAAATTCATTCTCTTAGAGGGACTAAGCGGATTTTAAAGTGAACCTCCGTCCTCTATGCAAAGATTAGATAAAGGTTTCGAGGGTACCACTGTGAACCCGACATTGCCATCTTTGCATGAAGGGTCACTTAATATTACGCTTACAGTCTCTTTAAATAAAGAATCATTAGAGTGGATATAGGCGTTTTTAAAATGTTTTATATGTAAGGTTACCGAGACTGAATTTTATTTCAATTTAGGAAGTTTATCCTGATTTTACGATCCAGGTAGTATTTCCTTGTCAATGCAAGATCTTTTTTCTAACTTATTGCAGTTGAGTAATTTCTTTCAAACAAAAACTTTTTAAAGGTATATTGTATTATATTATATCATATCATATGATAAAGAAATGACAATTTGCATATAAGAACGATTGCAACACACAACTTGTTTGACCCTTTTAAAATGTGATCCTATGCTTTATGAAGAAGAAAAAATATCAAGAACTGTGAATAATAATTCTGGAAGCTACAGTCAACAGTAAATAATTTGTTAACGTTTGTTTTAAACTAGGAAGTCTTAATTCACAATTTACATTTTCAGGAACCATCAGTTGGTCTATAAATAATTTTAATTTAAGTTAATTTTTTATGTGCGATGTGGTCATAAGTCTGATTGATTGATTAATTGATTTATTGATTAGGACATTCAGCTGGCGTATGACGTTAGTAAGCTAACAACTTTATCTAATGAACTGAGAGATGTTAAAGAAGCAAAACAATACGCAATAGAGCACAATAAGAGATATAACACTAATCTCTCGATGTACCCAGCTAAAGGTAGGTGTACTAAATATAGCACAACAAGAGATATAACCCAAACCTTTTCATGTACCCAGCTAAAGGTATGTGTACATGATATAGTACAATAAGTGATTCAACACTTATCTCTTCATGTACCCAACTAAAGATATCCTTACTGGATATAGTACAATAAGAGACAACATTTACCTTTATATGTACTCAGCTAAAGCTATGTATGCTGGATAAAGTACAATAAGAGATACAACACAACTTGTCGATGTACCCTACTAAAGGTAGGTGTACTAAACATAGTACAATAAGAGATACAACACTAATTTTTCCATGTACAAGCTAAAGGTATGTGTACTGGATAAAGTACAATAAGAGATAAGACACAAAACTCTCCATGTACCTCGCTAAAATTAGGTGCACTGGATATAGTACAGAAAAAAATAAAACCCAATCTCTTTACCCTCTAATGCAACATAATGCACAGATATAGTTGTTCTTACACACTATTTTTTCCTTAAGCCTCCCCCCTTTCCGGTGACCCCCTCCCCCCTCCCCTCATTTTCATGTAATATTGTTTCCCTAATAAGGTGCCCGCTGCTGTTCATGTTTCTGTGTACCATGTGTTGATAAAGTTACCTGTGTAGAGTACTATCAAGAGGTAAAATATGTACCGTACAGTTTAACCTTTAAGTATATTGTACTGTCTTAAATTGTACAGTATTCAACTGTATCATAAAATATTTTACTTTACAACACTACTCAATATTCAACAGTAGTTTCAACTTCAATCGTACAATTCAACTTTTTAACTGTACAGTTTCATCTTCAATTGTACGGTTTCATCTTCAATTGTACAGTTTCATCTTCAATTGTACGGTTTCATCTTCAATTGTACAGTTGAATCTTCAACTGTACAGTTTAATATTCAATTGTACAGTTTAATCTTCAATTGTACAGTTTAATATTCAATTGTACAGTTTAATCTTCAATTGTACAGTTTAATCTTCAATTGTACAGTTTCAACTTCAATCGGTACAATTCAACTTTTTAACTGTACAGTTTCATCTTCAATTGTACGGTTTCATCTTCAATTGTACAGTTGAATCTTCAACTGTACAATTTAATATTCAAATGTACAGTTTAATATTCAATTGTACAGTTTAATCTTCAATTGTACAGTTTAATCTTCAATTGTACAGTTTAATATTCAATTGTACAGTTTAATATTCAATTGTACAGTTTCATCTTCAATTGTACGGTTTCATCTTCAATTGTACAGTTTCATCTTCAACTGTACAATTTAATATTCAAATGTACAATTTAATATTCAATTGTACAGTTCAATCTTCAATTGTACAGTATCCTACTCATATAAGATTTTAAAAATGTTTTTCTCCAAAAACGAAATTAAAATTTTTTTTTTCTTAGCTGGAGGATAAATTAAATGCTAGAATTAAAGTTCTAAGATCCCAGTCACTACAGAACAAACTAGGTCAGTTGTTATATACAGTTTAACCCAAGGTTATAATGCAAGGAAAGTTAATTGCAGTTGCGCGTACTCTGCGTACATATTGAAACCAATTTGTAAACAAGAATAGATGCATCAGTGTTCGTTTAGTATCCGAGGAGATTAAAAGCATTAAATTTTGATAATTTTGATAATTTTGATAATTCACTTAATAGTGGAATATGACCAGAATATTTCATTGATTTTGTATGTGAAAGATGGATCCCATGTCAGGCTTCGACATCCGTCTTGTGTTTACATTACTGCCCAGAGACAGTACACTGCAGTACAAAAGATGCGTACACCTTTGAAAAAACTTTCCTTCCATCATAACCTTGGTTTAACCTAGAACTTCGGATAAGCCGTAAGAATTTATAAATTGTCTTCTAGCCTATTGATAATGGAATGCTGCAGTGTTTTAAATTGAATAATCACATTGAGCTCTTTAAATCCGTTTCCGCATATTTTATGGCTATTTACTTATTTTTACTTTTTACAATTACTAAATTTAGGCATGACAGTATAAAACTTTTGTCAAAACAACATTTTATGAATTGATGACTTAAAAGTATTTTTTAATATCTTTCTACACAGTTTTTAGTATATTCTTATATACATTATTACATCACTTTTAATATCTTTCTACACAGTTCTGAGCAGGTCTTAATTGTGTAAGGAGGTGTTAAAGGAACTTAAGTGTAATTTTTTATGATCCTCCATACAAAGAAGGCAATGTCGGATTCACAACGACACCCTTTATAGCTTTGTCTGTGCAAGTATGAAGTAGATATCGATCGATATCATACGGAAAGCTGATTATTTTTAATTGTGATTTCTCTAAGTGAATTACGCAATTCTACTGCTGAAAAACATATAGGAGTTATCAGAATTAAACACATGTAAACCTAGGAAAACGACATCGTCTTCCACATTATTTCTAAGCAATAGGTTCTAAAGGTATCCCTGTGAATCTTTGCATGGAGGGTCGCTTAAAATCGCGCTTACAGTCCCTCTTAGGGGTTGTCAAATTAATTTTTTCTAACTATCCTAAAGGTATATTTTGAACCTTTGTTAATTCTTAAAAATAAATACAATTATTATGCATTTAGAAAAGTTGTAAGAGATATAAGAAAATCTCAATGAATATACAATAATACAATATACAATATAAAATATACAAAATACAATATATAACATACAATATACAATATACAATATACAATATACAATATACAATATACAATATACAATATACAATATACAATATACAATATACAATATACAATATACAATATACAATATACAATATACAATATACGATAAAACGATAAACGATATACAATATACAATATACAATATACAATATACAATATACAATATACAATATACAATATACAATATACAATATACAATATACAATATACAATATACGATAAACGATAAACGATATACAATGTACAATGTACAATGTACAATATACAATATCAAGTAACTTATTTTAAGCCAAGCTTAAATAAGCTTAGTATATATATAATTCGAATTATTCTGCTATTATGAATCCAATTTTTACGAAGATTCTCGGTGAATGTTTTAAGTTAGAAATATGTTTAATTTATATGCCTATTTATTCAGGGATGGCTTTTGTTAGTTTTAGCTCGATAAATCATGCTAGACAGGTCGGTTTATGCTTACTCAACACAACATTTTTCAAGGGATGGAAACTTTTAATGACATTAGTTCAACCGATGTCGGAACTTTATGATAATTAGCGGAATCTTATTCATGCGATCTTTTATGAGGAGAGGATAATGGTTGGGCCATGAAAGAGAAAAAGTAAGATACGGGTTTTCGTTCATTTAAAAGTTCCAGTCTTTTTCCTGCCAGTTTGGTTTTAATCATTTTTATTTTGAATCGAGGGGGTTAACGACTAGAATTAATTTTTCCCTTTTATTAATTTCTAACAAAAAGAATTGGTAAAAATTCGTAACTCAAAATTACCTCTTTTTTTAATTGAAATTTCCATGGAATTTCGACGCAAAATTAGATAATAGTTTGAATAATTTTTATAAGAATTTTTATGCAAAAAAATTGTTCAAAGGAAGTTTTAAATCTGTATCCTATTATAAACAACTAAAACAAGGTGATATTTCTATGGAAAATTCAGGTTTTATCACATCTCTGTTTGTTGAAAAATTTAAGATTTTAACATTTATTCTCCGATTTAACAAAAGATGAAAAGAATTTTTAGTTTTAGCTGTGTAATTGTTTTCACAAAAAGTTTAGAAATATTTCAGTTTCTGAAATTTAATTTATTTCTTACACACTGGGATATATTAGGGGTTAAAAATTAATTGAATGAATAAAAACATTTTTCTTCCTATCATACTTTACTTGACAAAACTGTAGTGTATATTTTATCGAAAAATCATTTCTCTCCCCCCCCCTTTTTTAAATCGTTTTTCCCTATCACATATAAATACTTTTTTAAAGGTTTTATTTCTTGCATAGGGGAAAGGAAAAAGGACCAATTTTTCATTTTTTCCCCAAATTATAGGAAATGGGGGGGAATTCTGATAAATATCCGACAAAACCTGAAATAGATTTGTAAAGAAATTATAGTATTTCTACATTTAAATTTAAATTTTAGATGATTTAAATTTCTGTATAAAAAAACATGTTATAACATTTATGTTCATTGTTTTTGTGTTTGATTTTTTTTTCAATTTAAAATACTGATCTAATTCTATCCCCCCCCCCACTCTTCTACCACACGTCAATAAATATATTACCAGAATTGGTTAAAAAAAAAGTTACGACAGGTTAAGTGGGCATAAAAAGTGCCAAGGCAATGGCTTTTTAATGCTTTAAACATTTGTTTCAATTTCGTGGAGAAAAAAGTTTAGAAATAAATTTAACCTTCAAGTCTCCCAGTGTATTGTCAAGTTTAAGCATAAACTTGGTTGAAGGTTCACAGAGATCACAAGTATTCAATTTTAAACTTCAAGCATTGTCCTCCATCTTCATCGATCAATCTCAGACCAAAGGTAATCAATTTATAAATAATATTATCACTATTATTATTATGTTATTATTTTATGATAACTAAATTATTTTGATTCTTTGATTAACATTTGATTATTCTTTGATTATTATCTTTTTTTTAGGTTTGGAAGGTTTTGTTTTTATTAATTTATTACTCAGGGGTAAAAAGTCTGGTTTTGATAATTTGATGATTTAATGTTCAGGGGTAAAAAGTCTGGTTTTGATAATTTGATGATTTAATGTTCAGGGGTAAAAAGTCTGGTTTTGATAATTTGATGATTTAATATTCAGGGGTAAAAAGTCTGGTTTTGATAATTTGATTATTTAATGTTCAGGGGTGGAAAGTTTGGTTTTGATAATTTGATGATTTAATGTTCAGGGGTGGAAAGTTTGGTTTTGATAATTTGATTATTTAATGTTCAGGGGTGGAAAGTCTGGTTTTGATAATTAGATGATTTAATGTTTAGGGGTGGAAAGTCTGGTTTTAATAATTTGATGATTTAATGTTCAGGGGTGGAAAGTTTGGTATGCTCCTCAACCTTCAGACATCATTTGGGAAAACCTTTCAGACAGGTAACACTTAATTCCAACAGTTAAGCTCCATGAATTTACAAAAATATGCAGATCCAGGGATCGGGGTCTATTAGGCAAAATATCAATCAAAAGATATATAAAAAGATGTTTGCTCTCAGAACGCCACAAAGTGTTAAATGAGGAGAGATAATGAAGAATTTGTTTGATCTTTTAACAAAAATGAAATTTAAGTAAATAAAGATGAAAATTTCAAAGTAATCAATTGCTAACTGCCGATTAGCGCCAGTTTTGTTTACATTTCTGCCAATCAACAGCTGAAATGTGAAACCGGTTTGGAGCTCCACTTTGTATATTTTGTAGGCGGAAGCTGCTGTTAATGAAGAAGATTCTGGCAAACATCTTCATCTTCCTAATATGCTTCTTCCTCACCACACCACAGATCATTGTTCATCAGCTAGATCCTATAATTAATATACTACAAAACCTGACTACACCTAGGTACATAATATACTACAGAACCTGACTACACCTAGGTACATAATTTACTACAGAACCTGACTACACCTAGGTACATAATATACTACAGAACCTGATTACACCTAGGTACATAATTTACTACAGAACCTGACTACACCTAGGCACTTAATATACTACAGAACCGGATTACACCTAGGTACATAATATGCTACAGAACCGGATTACACCTAGTTACGTAATATGCTTCAGAACCGGACTATTCCTAGGTACATAATACACTACAGAACCTTGTTTTCTCCTCAATAATTTTGTATTTTACAAGATGTTTGGGTAAAATGTAATATTTGTACTAGAGGTGCTTATTTCTCCTCATTTGTCGGTTCTTATTTAGAGCTTTACCTTTGAACTCGACATCCACCAAAACGGATTTGTTTTCCGACCTCCCCTCCTGGTTGACGGACTTCCTCCCGACCTTGATGATCTGGACGTTCACAGCTCTCCTTCCTGTTCTTGTGGCTTACTCTGACCGACTCCTTGGACACTGGACAAGGTAGAACTTACATTTCCGGACATCACAATCATTTAAGAACCTGGGGCGGACAGAATTTATCCTTGGGGGAAGGAGCTTTAATAGGAAATAAATAGGCTTTTAAATGGACTAGGCGCAGTCTCAAATAACCCCACCATTTTAAAAAAGGAAAGAAGTGGCATGTCCGATTTCCAATAGTACTCTTTCATCTAATCCTCGTTTTTCTTGTTGGAAAATTATTAAATTCTTTTAATTTCCTTCTTTTTTAAGCTTGAAAAAATAAGGATATCTCAATTAATCTTTGCTCAGGCAAGGGTTTACAGGGTTCCTTAGTTTATTGGACATGCGGATGGTCATTGCAAGGCTATAGTCCTTTTTAGCTTAGAAAAGGGAAATGTAATTTCTTTATATTACCATTTAACTGGACTTTTTTAGAAATATTCAATTCATTTTACTTTCATTATTTTACAGATCTGGAGAAAATCATGCTGTGATGAAGAAAACGTTTTGGTATTTGATCTTCATGGTTATCATTCTTCCAACATTCGGACTCACCAGTGGACAGGTATTTAATCTTCATGGTTATCATACTTCCAACATTCGGACTCACCAGTGGTCAGGTATTTAATCTTAATGGTTATCTTACTTCCAACATTCGGACTCACCAGTGGTCAGGTATTTAATCTTCATGGTTATCATACTTCCAACATTCAGACTCACCAGTGGTCAGGTATTTGATCTTCATGGTTTTCATACTTCCAACATTTAGACTCACCAGTGGACAGGTATTTAATCTTCATAATTATCATACTTCCAACATTCGGACTCACCAGTGGTCAGGTACTTAATCTTCATGGTTATCATACTTCCAACATTCGGACTCACCAGTGGTCAGGTACTTAATCTTCATAATTATCATACTTCCAACATTCGGACTCACCAGTGGACGGGTATTTAATCTTCATGGTTATCATACTTCCAACATGCGGACTCACCAGTGGACAGGATCTTCATAATTATCATACTTCCAACATTCGGACTCACCAGTGGACGGGTATTTAATCTTCATGGTTATCATACTTCCAACATGCGGACTCACCAGTGGACAGGTATTTAATCTTCATGGTTATCATACTTCCAACATGCGGACTTACCAGTGGACGGGTATTTAATCTTCATGGTTATCATACTTCCAACATTTAGACTCGCCAGTGGACAGGTATTTAATCTTCATGGTTATCATACTTCCAACATGCGGACTCACCAGTGGACAGGTATTTAATCTTCATGGTTATCATACTTCCAACATTCAGACTCACCAGTGGACAGGTATTTAATCTTCATGGTTATCATACTTCCAACATTCAGACTCACCAGTGGACAGGTACTTAATTGGATCTACTTTTTTGAGATAACACACATGACCCCAGGAAATGTTTATGGATGCTTAAAATTTTCAAAATTTGTCTGGGTGAAAATGTTGACATTTATTTATTTTTGAAAATATATAAGAAAAATCTGCAAAAATGTTTGTTAAATGGGGAGTACGATGAAAAGAAACGGTTTAATGCTAAATTTGTTACTACAAATGAGGCGGGGGGAGCAAATGTCTAATCTTTATATATTAGGCTTGTTGGTTTTTTTGGGGTGGGGGGGATTCAATATTAAACAGAAAAATTTGGAAAATTTTAGTTCATTTTCCGAAGAAATATTGTGTCTTGAATAGCAACATTAAAAGCTGAAATTATTACTAGGAAAAGGACAAAAAAAACATGAACTTGAATGTAAATTTAGATTTCATAAGAATATTATTATTTTATTTGTAATCTTACTGTTAATGTTTGAATATTTGTTTACAAGGCGACAGTGGAATTCCTGTTTCGTAACTTTAACTCCACAAATTCAGCTGCAGATAAAGAGAGGTAAGATATGAAGAATCTAGACAGTTATACCAACAATTAAACAAACAAACAACGTCAGAATTACCTGTTTGAAAGAAAATTAGATGACAAGATCTAAGGGATTAGATTAGACATGAATCTTTAATCAATACAACATTAAAACAAATAAAAAAACTAAGAAGACATGAGATAATAAAAAAAATAAAAGAACAGAAGGGTCATTCCATGTCAAGTCAGCCACCTGATGGACGGCATGTCACAGATTTTGCTGAAATTTTGCATACAATTTGGGATATGAAAAAAAACTCAGAACCCAAAGATTAGCGTTCTGAGACCTCCGAGGCCGGAGATATGGCTCCGGAAAGTTTCCGATAATTCAAGATTTCGAGACCGGCCTCTATATTTCAAATGGCTCTAACTTTTTTGTTTTAAAAGATAGCTCCAAAATTTTTTCAGTTTTGAATAGGTAATCACAAGCCGGTTATTTGGCGTTAAAAGAAAAAATATCATTAAAATATTATTTACAGGTCATAATTGCATTTCTTTATTTTCAGCCTCCGTTTGAGGATGTGTACCAATTCCGATTGTGTTGATTTTTTTTTATATATTTTTATACTGCCATAAGGAAGGGATTAGAAAAGTTTTTTTTATATGTATTTGTTCCTGTTGAGGAGGAGAACTGATAATGTAATGCTAATTTAGATTTCTTAANCTAATTTCTTCACTGTAAATTTTATTATGATAGCCTCATGGAGCAAATAAACAGTACAGTCAATTATAAAAATCTTTGATCTGTTCAGATGCAAACACACTGTGTGACTGGGTCTTTTTGAGCAGTGGGGGTATGATTAATAATTTGACCCCCACCTAAGACTAATATCTGAGTTGTAAAAATAGACCTACACTGAAATATTTAAAAATTAGTAATACACACATGCATGCAATAGGACTTGTGATTACCTATTCAAATCTGAAAAAATTTTGGAGCTATCTTTTAAAACAAAAAAGTTAGAGCCATTTGAAATATAGAGGCCGGCCTCGAAATCTCGAATTATCGGAAACTTTCCGGAGCCATATCTCCGGCCTCGGAGGTCTCAGAACGCTCATCTTCGGGTTCTGAGATTTTTTTTCATATCCCAAATTGTATGCAAAATTTCAGCAAAATCTGTGACATGCCGTCCATAGGTGGTTGACTTGACATGGAATGACCCAGAAACTTTAGACGGGATTTCTAGTTAACAAGATATTAATCATTATAACATGAAAACAAATAACAAAACTAAGAAGACATGAGATAAATAAAAAAAAACTTAAGAGGATATTAAGTAATGAAAAAGGATAATAAAATAAATCGGAAAGGAGTATATATATACTGCCATAATATGAAACGCAAGCATTATTGCATTAACTACCTTGCATGAACTACCCAGCATGAACTACCTAGCATGAACTACCTTGCATGAACTACCTAGCACGAACTTCCTTGCGTGAACTACCAAAATGAATTACCTAAATGAACTACCCAGCATGAACTACCTTGCATGAACTACCTAGCATGAACTACCTTGCATGAACTACCCAGCATGAACTACCTAAATGAACTACCCAGCATGAACTACCTTGCATGAACTACCTAGCATGAACTACCCAGCATGAACTACCCAGCATAAACTACCTAGCATGAACTACCCAGCATGAACTACCCAGCATGAACTACCTTGCACAAACTACCTAGCGTGAACTACCTTGCATGAACTACCCAGCATGAACTACCCAGCATGAACTACCTAGCATGAACTACCTAGCATGAACTACCCAGCATGAACTACCCAGCATAAACTACCTAGCATGAACTACCCAGCATGAACTACCCAGCATGAACTACCTTGCATAAACTAGGAGACATGAACTAGTAGACATAATCTAGCAGGCATTAACTAGTAGGGATGAATTAGTATATGAGATAACAGACATGAACAAGTAGACATAAACTAATAGACATGATCTAAAATGCATGATCTAAAATAAATTATCTAAAATAAATTATCTAAAATAAATTATCTAAAATAAATGATCTAAAATAAATGATCTAAAATACATGAACTAAACTACAGTATCTAAAATACAGTATCTAAAATACATGATCTAAAATACATGATCTAAAATACATACAGGAACTTGAATACAAAAACTAAAAGACAGGAAGTTTATAACTGTATTCTAGGTGGGATTGTATCTTCCTACCTGACTCTGGTGCTTTCTTCGTCAACTATGTGATTACTGCTGCTATGATAGGAAATATATTCAATAAACTATGCTTCTGACGGACCCCCCCCCCCTTTTGGTGGTACTATCCCTTTCCCACCTTCAAAACCAATCTTGGCCAAAATTTATGAGATTAGAATATATTGCTGACTCTGTTTGTTTACTCTATCTCTATCATTGTTTCTATCGCCGTTGATAATGTTTTGGATCTATCTGTCTGTGTCTGACTATGTCTGTCTGTGTCTGACTATGTCTGTCTGTGTCTAACTATGTCTGTCTGTGTCTGACTATGTCTGTCTGTGTCTGACTATGTCTGTCTGTGTCTGACTATGTCTGCCTGTGTCTAACTATATCTGTCTGTGTCTGACTATGTCTATCTGTGTCTAACTATGTCTGCCTGTGTCTAACTATGTCTGTTTGTGTCTAACTATATCTGTCTGTGTCTAACTATGTCTGCCTGTGTCTAACTATGTCTGTCTGTGTCGAACTATGTCTGTCTGTGTCTAACTGTGCTTGTCTGTGTTTCAATTCATCTCAAGCTATAAATCTTTAGTTTAGTGTGGAAGTCCTAATAGTCGGATTTTATTTTTATGATTTTTTTATTTATATTTCTGAGTTTTGATTTTTATTAACGATATTTTTAACAAAAAGTTTTGTCTTTTTCTGTATTTTTCCTTCCTGTAAACGCTAGCTTAAACTAATGTTCTGATTGTTACTTTGTTTGTCTGTGATCCCGCTCCTCACAAAACTAACTTTGTTTTTACTCCTCGAGACCATTTGTAGAAAACTGAGGAGCAGTTCTCAACTAAATTCTTTTAGGTTATTAGGTCATCTAAAAAAAATTCTTCTATAAGTAGGCATTGCATTGCATCAACATTTTTCAATATCTCCGGAACTAATGGAGGGTGGTAGCCGTTGCTAGTTTTGCTTTCAGCGCCTTCTTTAAATTTCTTTTTATCATTATTTATTTCTAACCCATTCGATGAACTGGTCAAATTTCATAATTACTTTTCACATAGTTCCCCCTCCCCCATCTTCATATTTCTAAGAAAGGGAGGAATTTAAATAAATAAGACAAGATAATGGTTTTAAAACATTGAAATTTAGCAAATATACTTCCGAAACGGTGTTATTACGTCAAAATATATTTATTTTTATTTTAACTTTACACAAAGCATAAGCACCTCCCTACCCTAGAAAGATGTAAATTTAATTCCCCCGCTGGACCATTTTCTGAATACTCTTCCAAGTTCTTAAAATCTGTATTTTCATTTGTGGCTTCTCTGTAAATGTGGCTTGCGCAGTTTTTTCTTTATAAACAATGGAGATGTTATCAGAATTGATAACTTTTCAAATTTCAAGTCAGTAAACAACTTTATTTTCCACACTATTGATCAGATCAAATTTTCAACGGTAATGTTGTGAATAGGACGTGCTCCTCGATTAAGTGAAAGGTGTCTTAAAATTACTACGACGTCACGACATTCTCTAACCCTGGTCTAGAATCTAGTGTTGATGAATTAAGTATTTGATGAGGATTATTTTCCCGGATTTTAGGTTTGAGGGTTTTGAATATATTATTGCTCAGGGTCTGGTTTAGAGCTGATCAGGTTTCCAGAACTATTCTGGTATCTCATTCAGATTCTTGGATCCAGGAAACATACAGATTTTAACAAATAAAAATATTAATTATTTTCTGTCAGAGAAAATGTCGCACCCTCCCTCTCATATTATTACAAATCAACAATATTTACAAATAAATGGGGGGGCGGAGTGGAGCAGGGTGGTTGTTTTCATAGTCATTCTATGGGAAGTGGGTAATATATAATTTTATCTGTGTTTTTGTTTACCAGGACAAAAGCAGATACCCCAGCTATTAGGTAACACTAAAAGACCCTTTTTTATTTTGTACATTAAAATGCACTGTTCTTTAATAGTTTCAATTTTTGTTGAATTTATTATAAATTATCAAAGACTAAAAGTTTAGGCTAGAAAATTGCAAAAACTTTGTTAATTTTAAACATTTTTTTGTATGGCGATAAAATTTAAATATTTGAAAATGTTTTCAGAAATTTAATTTGTCTAAATTTCTAGGCGTGCAATTACATATGAGTTCAGGTTTGGGGAGCAGTACGCCAGGTAAAAATAAAAGAAACCTGGTCTTTATAAACCCTTTTAAACCTGTAACTATTCAACAAAACGCTGGGAAATTGTTAAACACTTTATCTGCAATCTGTTTTAAATATAAAATATAGATAAAGAAAAAGTCTTTAATCTTTGGTCAGTCAAATGTTTAATGCCAATATTTAAATAAAAGGTCACTTTGTTTTTAATCTTTGTGACAGAAACAATCTCAAGAACTGACTAGGGTCAACTCAGACCGAATTATATTTTCAATAAATGTGGACCTAACATCTACTTTTTTTTACTTTACAGAGGTTTGGTCCATCACCATCACAGAATTTGAAATGGAAATACGCTTTTACGGTCAACACAAAAGAGATAAATTCATTAATGTAACAAAAAATGTAAAAGGCAAAACATTTTTTACTTTTTTTAGAGTATTGTGGATGTCATTTGTTTTTGATGAACTTAAGTATATAGCGCCATTTTTAAAATAGCAAGACCTTTTCTCCGCGGTACCCTTTTAACCTTCGTGTAGATAATCTGCTACGGAGATATCCGTTTTTTTTCTGGCTGAAAATGAAATGACCTCGGAAAAAAAGTTTCTTTAGCACGGAGTGTACACTGTACGCATTTGTTTCCTTGCAAGAAATTTTCAGCGAGAGAAAAAAGTGAAATACCTTTTTACAAATGGAGGGTTACTTAAATACAACTGTAGACCCAACAAATAATTTTTAATTTAATTAATTTTCGTTTAAGATTAATGTGTTTATATGACGGCTTATAAACCATTTATAAAGGGGAAAAAGTCGGGTTCCATTTCACGATTACTTTGTAAGATGTTTTAGAACAAAATCTTAGATTTTACTTATGTACTGTCTCTAGGATGATGCTACTGTTTGCTATGGTTGTTATGTACAGTATACCCTGTCCACTCATCACTCCATTCGGTTGCATGTACTTCATTCTCAAGCACATAGGTATTATATAAAGTAATCATTTAAATTAACTAAAATTAAGTGTAATTTCTGTCTTTTCTTCAGAAATAAATTCCACTGAAAAACAAAAATGTCGTCAAACTTATTTTTAAGAATGCAAAAACATTTTATTCCTTGACATACAAACTTACAAGCAGATTTTTGCTTTAAGATAGTATTATAATACGTAACTCTAAATAAATAGTAAATTTTTATCAAAAATTCTTTGATTTGCCAGATTAAAAAAAATTAAACGTCTGTTTTGTTTCAGTTGATCGGCATAACCTTGCATACGTGTATGCCCCAAGTAAGATCAATAAGAAGATCCACGCCACAGCAATCAACTTTGTGATCATGTCCGTGGCGTTGTTGCAGTTCCTTATGGTCGTCTTCTCCTTTATACGCTCCGGGGATATAGCCCAGGGTCTTGTCTCTCCGCATACAAAGGTTTTTTTATCTCTTTAAAAATTTAGAATTTAAAACTTTTCAAAAATAAACAAAAAAAACTTTTTAAAAAATGAGAAAATTGGTCGTTAAATGAAGAAAAAGGGAAACATACTCTGATTATGATTTAGAAAAATGATAATTTGTAAATATTCACTTTTAAAGAATGTTCAAAGACATTAATATATTCCTTGAGATTTGTTTCTGTGATGAAGATTAAAAAAAAACTGTTTAAATGTACATATGAGTATAAAGTATAAAGTGAGGGGGGATTTTTTATTTGAAAAGAGCAGTGAATTTTTTCTTCGACCGTTGTATCTTTTTTATCTGATCATATACTGTTCCATGTTCTTCTCTTTTAGATCTACGCATTCTTGTAGACAAGGGAAAATGCATTTTGACACATAATTCTGATTCATACTATTATTTAATTTGATATCATGGCGCCAGAAATATCCAATTAAGTATAATAGAAAGTTACTGTTTGTATAATAACAGAGAATTCAAATGGTTTTTATTTTTAATCGACGAAACAAAAATCCACCAAAAGATCTCATCAAATGTAATAATAGTATTAGAATAGTTATTTATAGATATAGTATCTTTTATTATTAAAAATGTCGAGTAATTTTAAGATCTGTTAACTCTACTTTTAATTATATTTTTATCCTGGTATTTAGGTAGCTATAGGGTTGTTTGTGTTAACCCTAAATATCTGCTCTGCACAGATCTGGTCTGCTACCTGCAAGAAGATTTCACCGATTAAATACGACGACATTTTGTTAGCTGAAGACCCAGAGGTCAGTTTCTATGTACAGTCGTCGTCATATATTTCAATACAATGAAGACGACTTTCGTTTTGAATTTTTGTTTTTCAAACGGCAGGGATACACGTAAACATGGAAACAAAGAGAGAAGCTGTCAAATAACAACTTCTCTTTCTTTACTTGTAAACTTGTAATTTGATGCTTGTTAGAAATCAAAACTTAAATAGAAAAGTCGTCTTCATTGAATTGTAGTTATATTTCTATTTCTTAACTGGGAGTTGATTGGCAGTTACAGCTTGACGGTTTCTTTTAATTTTTCAATTAGAAATTTCCGGAATATCGACTTTCCATTTAAATCATTTCCAAATGGCATTAAAAGGACTGTAAGCGTAATTTCAAGTAACCCTCCATGTAAAGATGGAATATTGCTTCTAAGAAACAGCGGAAAAATTCACAAAAATAAACAATTTTCGAGTTTGAAAACGACGTTATCTTCCACATTTTTGATCATAATTCGGTTTAAATCGGTCAAATTGTTATCTTTACATGCTGGGTCACTTAAATTATGCATAGAGTTTTTTTTCTATTTAAATGACGATGTCCTAAATGTTGATTTGGTTAAAGCATTTCCTGTTACGGCTAGGATACACTAGTGGGCCAAGCGCTGCGTTAGAAAATTTTACATAAAGAATTCTTCACTTGGGAAAATGTCCTTTGGAAATGGAAATGGTCATTTTTTAAATGCCATTTTTTAAGTAACAGACATCGAATAGTTAACCTTGATTTTTAAGTTTTGCTGAATGTAATTTTTATTTTTGGTCACTTCTCACCCCTGCAGAGATTTAACATAGTTACTTTAGGACGTTCTTCGACCGTATATACCTAACGTCTTGAAGGGAGTTTGCTTCAGTCCAAGCATAGGAGACGATATTCCACAGAGGGTTGACTCGTCCACAGAGACAGCAGACGAACGAGTAGAGTTGAATGGGACGAGTAAATTGGATTAAACCATCATCATCGAGTTAAAACTAAAATTTAAGATATTTTAAAGCCATAAGTTCTTTAACTCATGTTTGTTAACAACCGAATTCTGGCTATTACCAAAATTCCGACATCTGACAATCGCTAAATTTCTTACAATTACCAAATTTCCGACAATTACAAGAAGTGCGACAGCATACTTGAAGTTTGTAAACAAACAAACTACCCGACATGGAACCAAATCTTGATAAAAGGAAAATAACGAAAATCAAAGCATTAGAAACCAAATATGTGTAGCGCAATATTTTTAAGTACTTTAGTTTACTTGTACTACTTTAATGTCAGTGTGAACGGATTTTTATGTACGCATTTTTGTGAAATGTACATTTTTATTTATTAGTTTTAAAAATTTAGAAGTATTATCATTTATTGCAAGAGATCTTTTTTAGGTTTGGTTAGGTTTTCTTTTCTGAAATTTATTTTAATTGTTCCGCTTTTACGTAGGCTCAAATATCCCCCCCCCCTCCCCCTCTTTTTGTTCTCGCTAGCCCTGGTATATACTGAGGAATCATTTGTATAAACTGTTCCAGTTTCCAACACTGAACTCGCTTCTTAAATGGAATTATTATAATTTCTAATTGAGTTGAATATTCATAAAACTTTTACATTTTACAAATTTGAAATTTTAAGACTGGTGATAGTTTACAAAGAACCTCCCCCGCCCCACACACACACAAACACACACACTGTATTGTGCCTTAAAACCATTCGATTTATATTATTTATTATAAACCTCTTTCATTTTTTATGACACTTTTTAAAATTTAAATAATCACCAAAAGCTCAAAATTACTGAATTGCAATTTTGTAATAATAATTTTACAAGATGTACAATGTACAGACGTTGTGTTTTTTCCAATGTACATTTTACATCTCATATATGTATAGTAAATATACAGTGTAACAATGTACATTGTACATATACTTTTACAGTAAACTTTGAAAGTATTTTGCGATAGTATTTTACTCTCAATTAACATGGGATTTCACTTTCAGAGAGGAATTGAAAGTAGTCTTTAATTTTCGCTAATATGAAAATAACAGTATGATTGAGTATTAAAACTCAAAAGGTTGTAAATCATCAAAATTTATGAGACACCCTATACCATTCCCATATTATGCAATCCAACGCAAATATCACTAGTTACCAATAGCATACGAACAACTCAAGAGAACGTTATTTGTAATATGGATTTTATAAAACTGTAACTGAAGACCTTTAATTATAATTCTAAAATATATTAATATTTTAAATATCCATATATTTTTTTTGTAGAGTAGAGCACGTTCATAACAATCCATCTTTACTTCATACTTTCTGATCTGCATCTGTAACCTTGGAGGTCTTATCTTGCAGTTTGCTATTTATTTTTGTAATATTTCAGTTTGTTTACTTGGTGCATTGTTTAATAAACATACTTAAGTTACTTATATTTCATTGTTCTAGAGTTTCCAATTTCTTCCGGATCCAGTGGCGTAGATAAGGGGGGTTATTGGGGTTATTTACCCCCCCCCCCCCCCTAGAATCCTGGGGGTAAATACTCCCCCTAGAATCCTGGGGGTAAATCCCCCTCCTAGAATCCTAGGGGTAATTACCCCCCTAGAATCTTGGAGGTAATTACCCCTGAACATAAATTCAGGCCCTGAATAGCAGGGGTTACTCCACTTGCTGCCTCTACAAGTTACAGTTGCCTTGACCCCTTCCCTTCAAAAAAAAATACATTCCCTATTGATTAGTCTGCACTTGTGTAAAGACGTCTATTTTCATGATAGTACAAGTTTTTGCGGCATTTTGCAGATGCCTAAACAGTAAACTCCGGTTACTTCAGTTCACTCACACGCAACTGGTTATAATAAAAAATATATTTTATGAGTTCATTTCCTAAAATACGATTTTTGGACCCCCTCCCATTCCTATCAATTTTGTACATGGATATTATATGTAAGACATGGATATAATCATATAATTGACCATGTTGAAGGAGCGCCCGGCCCCTAGTCTCTCCTAGCCGCGGCGCTAGGCCCCTAGCCGGTCCTAGCCGCAGCGCTTGGCCCCTGCCCCGTAGCATGTCCTAGCCGCAGCACTCAGCCCAGAAAGTGTCTTAACCTAACCTAACCTAACCTAACCCTAAATATATACTAATTTTACTGAAAATTGTTGAAAAAGTGGTCATACATACAAAATTGATCGGAGGGGGGCGGGATCCAAAAATCGTATACTTGGACGGACCCTATTATGAATTATGGTAAAGGTTTATAATATTTTTGTAGGTCAAGTCATCAAAGAACTTATCTAACTTCCTCAATCTTCATAAAAAAAACAGAATTAGTATTCTGTAAATTTATTTCGTAGTTTCTTTCATTTGGTAAAGGTGATGCACATTATATGTTTGTTAGAGCCAGCTTAGACTCTGAACATGCTGATTTTTTAATGCCTAGCTTTAAAATTTTAATGTGCAATGAATCTAAAACAAATTGAACCCAGTTTCTGTCCTAGATAACGTTTTTGTGTCCGCCCCCCACCCCCTCCCTCCTGTAAATTTTGTACTTTTTTTAAAGATTACTTCTGTAACATATGGGGGAGGGTCCAAAAAGAGTTCTTTAGGAGACAAGGACAGATTCCAACCAATACCAAGTACTAATTTTAGTCCATAGAATTTTTGCAAATAAAAACATATTCCTGTATGTAAATTTCAGATATTATGCCTCCTAAGAGGAAATTAACGCAGAAAACATTGTGCAGATACGTCGGAATCAGATATTTCAAATTTTAAGTCAACATNTTTCTTTAGAGAATAGAGAGGATCCCTCTTATACAAATAAACGTGCACTTATTTCACCTTAAATTAAATGCACCCGATACCTTCCTAATTCCAGTTCTAGCTCTTCACAAAAATAACATAATAAAACCACACTTTAATTAAAATCATGTAAAGCGTCGCCCGTAAATTATTATGGCAACAAAAATGGCGTCTTTTTAGATGAGATAAACAATCAAACCCAATCTATATTAAATTCATAACAAATTCGTATTAATTAAAAAATATGTAAATAAATAAATAAAAATTATGTAATATAAATTGTTAAAAGTTATATAGAAGAATGATAAAATATCTCAAGGAAATCAAGTTCTGAAATGAAATCGCTTCAATAAAAATTTTGAAGTATGTAATCCACGAAAAATCAGGGAATTTTCAAAATGCCGGCAATGCTGAAAGAGAGGTCCAAGTCAATTTATAGCAATTCTGAGGCATAGCTTGAATTCGAAAAATTTCATCAATGTGAAATTAAGCAAACAACAGCATTCAAATACTGCAAATTTGTTTCTACAAATTCTTTTTCGTCATTTAATTAATGTGATCCAAATATTTTTTCCCCGAAAGTTCTTTATCCGGTTTCGCAGATTGCCACGGTCAATTTTAAGTTCAGCTCCATGCTGAAAGAGAGGTCCCAGTCAATTTACTCTTACGGAAATTAAGAATTATTGAATTTTATTTAATAATACTTTGTGGTACCTCGGAGCAGAATTCAGTGTTAGGGCGGGTGCAGGCCATGGAGAAATACAGGGTGTCCCACGAAACATGACAATAGCAAGACGACTTGAAAGTCGTCTTTGATATTTGAATTTATTTGTGACATTTAGTCTTCTATCTACTTTAACATGTATGATTCTTGAAACAATTATCACATAATTCTCCTAGCCCTGGCATTTCCAAAAAGTGGTCTGCGTTTTTTGTGCTTTCAATATTACCGGAGATTTGGTTCAGATTTCAATTTTGTTAAATAAAAGCAAAATTGTCTAAATCTAAACGAAATTGTTCATATCTCGGGCAATATTGAAAGCACAAAAAATGCAGACCACATTTTGGAAATGGCAGAACTAGGGGAATTTTTTGATTATTATCTCTAGAAATTTACTTCAAAAATTAGGTTGACAAATAAACGCAGCAAATTATATCAAAAATCAAGACGACATTCAAGGCCTCTTGCATACTGTCATGTTTCGTGGGACACCCTGTATATAATTTCCCAGAGATCAAGAACCATCGCCTTCATCTATCACAGGAGATACGCAGAGATCTACGATTAGCTGGGATACAGAATCTCCCAGCTAATTATACATATCTGATCCCCTGTGATGCTGTGATTTTACTGAAAAGGAATTGTTCATTTCAATTCTGGTTGTTCATCTTCATTATGTTCATGGTTCTGTTGTCCTTAATGACTTCAATGACTGTTCTAAGTCCGATTGTTTTAAGTCGCCCCTGCAAAGTAGACAGGTATTTACATATAAACCACTTATCAGGGGCGTAAATAAAGATTCTGTAAGGGGGGGGGCGGTAAATTTTTATGATGTGGCACGCGAAGTGCGGCGAATTTTTTTTTACACCCCCCCCCCCCTAGAAAAATATCATGATGTATATCAAATTATTGGTTTTAGTTGGGTTTGATTTGCATTTTCCACTCATTTCTGGCATTTACAAACTCCACCAAATAAAAGCTTCATTTCCTACCTTTCAGCTTTCACCATGTTTTATAGGTGACATGGAAACGCCTCAACACGGAAACGACTCAACAAGGAAACGGATCAAAAATTATTTTTGAGGCATTTTCGTTTTTTTTAGAAATCCGAGGAAATCCCTCAAAAGTTCAGAAAAGTTGAGGGATTTCCGAATATTTTGTATCCGTTTTCCCAATATTTAGAGTTGAATGGTTCCCTCTTTTTTTTTGATCAATTTCCTTATATTTTTAGGTCCGTTTCCTCATATTTTTGATCGGTTTCCGCTTTTTTTAAAGCTTTAAAAATCTCAATTTGTTGATCGGTTTCCTCAAATCTTAGGTCCGTTTCCTCATATTTTTGATCTGTTTCCGCTGTTTTCAAAAACTCTCAATTTGTTGATCGGTTTCCTCAAATTTTAGGTCCGTTTCCTCATATTTTTGATCCATTTCCGCCTTTTTTAAAACCTTTAAAAATCTCGTTTTGTTGATTGGTTTCCTCAAATTTTAGGTCCGTTTCCTCATATTTTTGATTCGTTTCCGCTTTTTTCAAAAACTTAAAAATCACATTTTGTTGCTCGGTTTCCTCAAATTTTAAGTCCGTTTCCTCATATTTTTGATCCGAGATCCATGTACTGTATATTATTAAGGTTGGATCGAACTGGAAGAATGGTTTAGATCCATGTACTGTATATTATTAAGGTTGGATCGAACTGGAAGGACGGTTTAGATCCATGTAAGAAGTTCTACTGCAAGGATGTTGATGGGGAAGCAGATATTCAGATAGAGACTGAACAATGCTCTTCAACCTGTCCAAAGGTAAAGAAAAGTATTAAAAC